TACTGCACACCCCTGGTTAATTTTACATACTGCACACCCCTGGTTAATTTTACATACTGCACACCCCTGGTTAATTTTACAAATATTAAATAAACCCCACATAAGACAGCCATGAAATCACTCTTCATCTGGAACACTTCATGCACCCTTCCAGGCAGAAGTCGGACATTTTCCCTCATCAGTTTTTAACACCAGCACAAATACTGTTTGACCTGGATGCAGATTAGCCAAGTAATTTAAAGAGAACATGTCAGGCACAGAGCCTGACATACTTACAGCTACCAGTAAAGAAATGTATTTTTTTTTGTGAAACCTGCTTGTGTGCACCCAAGCTCCTTTGAAATTCTGGTTGAACACTGATACAGAGCTATATATTTAACAAAATTGGTAGAATTGGCAGCAAGCTGTGTTTCTCTAGTGCAGTTCTTGGGTCCCTTTCACACGGGGCAGATTCTGTTGTGATCAGCAGGGGATCTGTGAGCTGAATCATGCTGATCAGAGCGGGCAGATGACAACATCATTTCCTCTGTTCCTGCACAGTGGATATGGACACAGTCTGCTCTGCTCTATGGGTGGCCCGCTGAAAACAGACTCCACTGTGCTTACACCCAGCCACCTCTAATCCGCTCTGTCGAAGTCTTTTTTTTTTTTAGGTGGACCCAATCGAACTTAGAGGTAGGTGGGTGTAAGCAGACAAGTCCGTTTACACCTACCTGTTCATAAGAATGCACTGACCTTCTGATCAAGGCTGTCTAAAAAACTGATAGGCAGACCTGATAGGAACACCCATGTAATAGGGGCTTAAGTGTAGAGGATCTGAAGTCGCCTATGCTTTATTACACGTTAAAAACCTTAATTCTGTTGGGGACCCCGTCTCCTAATATATAACCAGGGTGCTTATTGCAATTGTATCTGCAAGCTCTCCAGCAGCCTATTCACACTTCAGCTTCATGCAGTGAAAACGCATGCTGCATGAAAACACATTTGAAGCAGAAATCCTATTCCTTCCTATGGGGGCTGGTTCAGTTATGTGCTAAAGTTCACAGAGTTCTGGAAATAGAAAGTATGTGGGCCCATTAACATGTACACGTGTATTATCACATGTGCTGCATGCACACGGAACAGTATTAGGGCTCATGTACACTGCAGATGATAAACTCACGTTTAGGAACTGTTCAGCGATTTTTTCAGCAGCGCCTGAACTCGCCCTAATGTTTTCCTATGTGTCCATGTACACAGTCATTTACAGGCAGTTGAGTTTACAGTTTTTTTTTTTAATGCAGAAAACTTGCGTTCAGGAGTAGATTTTATCAGCGGTTCAAACGCCAAACGCTTGTAAACACGGCTAAATGCAGCTAACTGCATTTATAACCCTTTTAATTTTTTTTTTAACTCTTCCATTTCCAGATGCTGTCCAGTGCCTTTTTTTATCGCCATACTTTGAGGTTTCGCATGAAAGAAAATATGTTAGACACTGCTGCAATAATTACTGCACAGAAATGAGCTGGAACACATCCAAACACCACAAAAAAAAAAAAAAAAAACGACAGCTAATCTCAACACATACTGCTCTCTCTGCTTCTGCTCTATTACTTTCAAGATGTCTGAAATAGTTAATTTTTTACTGTTTTCAGTGCATTCTGGGCATTTTGGAAGGTATCCTAAGGTTATCTTTAAAAAACGCTTCTAAATGCAAACACTCAAAATTGCGGTATGCAAAAGCGGCTAAACAGACTTTTTTAACCTATGTTTTCCAGCAGTCAGTTTCCATTGTTCAGAAGTGTCCCGTGTACATGGAGCCTTAATCCTGTGCATTGCCTTGCCTACCCATTTGCCACCATCACCCCGCTATTCAATGAAAGCAAATCCTTGGGCAACAAGTGGGATGGGAAGGGGTGGTATGGGCTGGGAGACCGCAGACACCATGCGGGGATATCCAGATGCCCATTAAGCAGTATTTAACCCAAAAGAACACATTATATTGCAGCTCACCTATTCTTAGACGTGACAGCTGTATTTGTTAACTTTTTTAGGCTCTCTTTCTTCTATTGTCATCTGATGATTCAGACAGCAAGTCAGCGGTTTTTCAGATGCTCACCCCCTGCCAGCAGAATGTGTCAGTTTATATGGATGAAACAATCCATTTACTACTGAAAGTTATGATAAAAATGATCAGCTTTTATTTATTCATGTAATGCAGGCCATAGACTGGTAGAAAATCGGCTGATTTTTCGGGCAAAAAAAAAAATTGGCCATTTTTCGGGATTTTGGCACTTTTTTTAAATCGGTAAAGTTGGAAAAAAATCGTCCGATTTTCGTGGCAATGATGGGCAAATTGGCCAATCTTTTTACCGATACAAAATCTGCGCATGAGCCGTGACAAGGAGGAGAATGAGGAGGAGGAGGAGGAGGAAGAGGAGGAGGAGGAAGAAGAGGAGGAGAAGGAAGAAGAGGAGGAGAAGGAAGAAGAGGAGGAGAAGGAAGAAGAGGAGGAGAAGGAAGAAGAGGAGGAGAAGGAAGAAGAAGAGGAGAAGGAAGAAGAGGAGGAGGAGGAAGGAAGAAGAGGAGAAGGAAGAAGGAGGAGAAGGAGAGGAGGAAGAAGAAGATGAGGAGGAGGAAGAGGAAGGAGGAGGGGCAGAAGAAGAGGAAGAAGGAGGAGGAAGAGGAAGGAGGAGGGGCAGCAAGAAGAGGAAGAAGAGGAGGGAGGAGGAGGAAGAAGAGGAGGGAGGAGGAAGAGGAGGAAGAGGAGGGAGGAGGAGGAAGAAGAGGAGGAAGAAGAGGAGGGAGGAAGAAGAGGAGGGAGGAGAAGAGAGGAAGAAGAGGAGGAGGAGGAGGAAGAGGAGGAAGAAAGGAGGAGGAGGAAGAGGAAGAAGGAGGAGGGAGGAGGAAGAGGAAGAGGAGGAGAGGAGGAGGAAGGAGGAGAAGAGGAAGAAGAGGAGGAGGAGGAAGGAGGAAGGAGGAGGAGGAGGAGGAGGAAGGAGGAGGAGGAGGAGGAGGAGAGGAGGAGGAGGAGGAGGAAGAGGAGGAGGAGGAGGAGGAAGAAGAAGGAGGAGGAGGAGGAAAGAGGAGGAGGAGGAAGAAGAAGAGGAGGAGGAGGAGGAAGAAGAGAGGAGAGGAGGAAGAAGAGGAGGAGGAGGAAGAAGAGGAGGAGGAGGAAGAAGAGGAGGAGGAGGAGGAGGCTTCTGCGGAGGAAGAGGAAGGAGGAGGAGGAGGAGGAAGGAGAGGAAGAGAGGAAGGAAGGAGGAGGAAGGAAGGAGCTCCTAAGTCGGAGGAGAAGGGAGGAGGAGGAGAGGGAAGTCTTCTCTTCCTTTGGAGGAAGGAGGACGGGGAGGAGGAAGGAGGAGGAGGAAGAAGAGTTCCAGTCTGCTATTATACTTGACATGAAAAAGTATGGCAGTTGCAACAATGTATCTATTTGTATCCAAATAAAACCATTTACATCCGAAATGGATACAAATAGATACATTGTTGCAACCGCTATACTTTTTCATATCAAATATAATAGCGGACCTCTCTGCAGGGACAGAAGTAATTAAATGCCGGCCGTAGACGGGACGAAAATCGACTGTTTTTTTTAACCGTTGGTGGTAACGTCGGCCTATTGAACGACCGATTTTTCGTGTTTTTTTTTTTTTTTTAAAAACGACCAGTTGTCGACCCATCTATGGCCTGCATAAAACCTTTATTCCAAAAGGAAAAAAAAAAAAAAAAAAAAACATTTGCTGTAACTGATTATAAAGTGTGATCCGGAGTTTGGCTTCAATTTATTATATTTAAATCTGCTAACACATCTAACATTCCCACCCTCTCAGACTGACAATGCTGCTGTTTGCAGTGTCCTGTGCTCATTCATCCAGAGTGGTGTCTCACTAATACAGGAGGTGTATTACTGGTCAGATCACCAGGTGAAAACAGAGGGAAAAAGCCAAAGAAAAGAAAATGGATGCAACACCACAACTAATGATTGGTAAGCTGAAATACAATACATTTTTGGTTTTGGATTTCATACCGCTTTAACAAATAAGGTTACTTGCAGGCACATACCTGTTCTTTACCTGTCACATTAGTAACCAATGTTTGGGAGTACCCACAGGTTCACCTGAAGCTTTGCTCACCTCTGGCCAGCAATACATGTACATGAACCAGTAGAATCCAATTTATTGTATTGCATGGCCTTGTCCTGGCCTGTGTTATCCGTTATTGAACACTGCCCTCTAATGGCCAAATTCAAATTAACATTTAAGAGCTTAAAAGAAGTCAAAGCCCAAGCAGCATTAGAATGCCAGTTTTATTGCACATTCAGGATCTGTACAGAATTCTATAAATAAGAAAGACTGGGATATTTACATAGTGCTCTCCATGCAGTGGACAATGGCTGGTATGGGGCATCAAATACCTTCATATTTACAATCTGTACCATAAGGTTCCACACCTGCCTGTGAAATGTGTGAACCTATTTTTTTTTTTTTTTTTAATATATGCTAGAAGCCCACAATGGCAGTCCGTGGTTTGGTTCTGTCTGTCAGCCCATGGGAAGAGCTCTGAAGCATGCTTTGCTTGAACATCAGACACAGCACTCAGAGTGGGAACTAGGATGCAAGCCTTTACAGCTCGCAGATTCAGAGAGGCTCTATACTAGCGGCTGGCGACCACAACGCTGCCGCACAAATAAACACGGGGCTTGTAAAGGGGTGCAACAATGCTATTGTCTTGGAAGAGTTGTGTTGTATTCACTGCACAGAGGTCAGAAACACACAAACACACAACACTAAAGCTTGGGGGGCTGGGGGGGCTCTGTAAAATGCAGTCACAACACATAGTGAAGTCACTACAAGGGAGACTGTGCAGCCTCCATGTACAGGAGGAATGTTACATCAGAACGCCAAATGGAATAGCTGTCAGCAGAGCCGGCGGTCTGGAAGGGGAGGGGGGCACATAGCGCACATTCAGTGTGTGTGGTCACAGGTCAGTTACTGGAGAAGGGGAGGGGGGGGAGAAGGTCAGCTGGACACAGGCCGAGGGGGTCTGCTCTTCATCTCCGCTTCCTTTCCTCGGATGGCGGCCACGTAGGAGAAGAGGCACAGGACAGAGTAGCAGATCTCGTGGGCCTGTTAAAAGATAAAAAGAAAACACTGAGCCTGCAGAGCAACAAACAACCTCCAAACACTGGGCCTTATATATTAAACTGTATGAAATCAGAACCGGTTATAAATACAGAAGAGCATTTAGAGTGACAAGGCCACAATGTAAAACTCACTGTATCACCTCCAAATTCCCCCAGACTGCCTCATTTGGTCCTGGAGATGCAATTTTGTATGGAATATTCAGTAACCTGCTTTCCTCTATCCTTTAAAGCCTACCAGAGGTTCTAGCAGTACTGAAAGGGTTTCGAAGGGCAATTTGTGGAAATAATTTTGTTAAAATAATAAACATGTTATACTTGCCTACTCTTCGCAATAGTATTGCACAGAACGGCCTGAAGCCTCCTCTTGAAGAGTCCTCCGCTGGCTCCTTTTTCATGTATGCCCCCATAGCAAGCTGCTTACTGTGGGAGCAAATGTGCGGGCTCGCTTCTGAGGTGGGCTGTGTGCATCCATAGACACACACAGCGTGGCTTGGCCTTGCCCACAGGATCTGACTGCATTAGGAAGAAGGGTCAGCCGCACACTGGAAAATAGATGAATATGGTGTGTATTTGTTAATCCATAGGACACCAAAACCACTAGGACATGAATACAGGACCCGTTAACGCTTTTCACATGATCTCGTGCTTAATCATTGGTTATGACTAAGCACGAGATCATATGAAACACGCTAACAGGTCCTGTATTCCTGGTGTTTTGTGTGTCCTATGGATTAACAAATACACACTATATTCATCTATTCTCCGGGGTGCGGCTGACCCTTCTTCCTATTACATCGTGTGTGGTGGCGAGCCGGAGCCTGCATCTGTTGTGGATTGATCTGGACTGTTTGCCTGGGTGGTATACATTTGTTCCTTGGACACAGGATTTGACTGACAGCAGCAGGAGCCAACAGCTGCAGTGTAGGGAAAGCAGAGAACCAGGAGAGAAGACCAGCAGCCAGGCACAGCACTGGGCGTCATCGGGGCCACAGGGAATGCCTTAAGGTAAAAACTATTTTAGCTTTAGAACCACCTTAATACAATGACTATATAGATCTTTATTGGATGAAAGGCTAACGCCACTGAATATCAGCCATTTCTTGCTGATGCTCCTCCGGGCTTCAGGCTCCAAATCACCTTTCTTGGCCAGGTATGGGGCTCTTGGACATACCACAATCACTAGGCTCTAGGGAAAATTCCCTTCAAATGTGCAACTTTCCTTGCAAAAAGAGAACAGCCTATTTGCCTTTAATCAACCCCACTGATTCCTTAGTAAAACTATGCTGTTGCTTTGACTTCCAAGAGTCTGCTAGCACATTGTGTAAAAAAGGGCTTGTGGGAGATGTAGTTCTGGGGTGTGCCTACACCAATTTGAACTAAGCACCCAGCGATGATGTCACAAGGAGTAATAAAATCAGTTTCTCACCACTGAAACAATGTTAAAAAAAAAAAAATGCAGGACTTTGGGAGGTTTGGAGGATAAGTTGAGTGATGCACTGACATATGCTTTTAGGCCTCATTTACATCTGCTTTGTTGCTTGCAGTGTGATCTGGAATCAGATCGCACTTTAGCGAGTAATAGGCAGTGAAAAGGCATTGCATCGCCTCCCCACTGCTTGTTTTAACCACATAAATACCATACAGTTGCACTGCAAACATGTTTTGTGCGCAGTTCCAGGTTAGCTACATCGTGGCCCTCATTCATTTGAATGGGCCACGCTCCATGCATGACAGGTAGTATAACTCCTTCCACAGCTGTGAAGCAAAGCAGCGCAGGTGCAGCATGTGTAAACCTTTGGGCACTGCCTCCGCAGCAATGGGGGGGGGGGAGGTTTAGGAGTGGTAAAAAAAAGTGACTCAACCGTTGTAAAAACGACCCCCCCCCCCCCCCACAAGTGTAAATGAGCCTTAATGACACATGTGAACCTTAATTTTCCCCACTGATATCAACTATGTCCAGGCTTTTTTGCTGGGGCAAGGTTTTTTTTTGCGGTCATGCAAGGATCCCTTTAATGTGGTGGCCACAATTCAATCTGTCTCTGGTTTGAGATTTGCCATGGCTGTTCCAGCTCTCAGTAAAAGGAAAATAGAAATGTCCTCCATTTTCCATGGCCTCTCAGTAAGCAACATCCAGGCCTCTCTGCCTAGCTGTGGCATTGTACAATTTTTTTTTCACAATTTGATCTTTTGCAGCAAGAAAATGGACAATGAAATGATAATTTAATCTGAAATGATTGCAATGTATCTTGTGAGTGACACTAGGAAAAGAAAGGAATAAAAATCAAGATTGAGTTAAATATAAGCAAAGACCAGATGTAACCTGGGTGGCCCTCAGAGCAGTGATGGGCTTAGAAAAATATGCTTTGCCTACTAGATCACAGGGCACACTTGCCTATAAAGAGTTGAGGAATTTTATCTTGAGCAGCAGCCTTTACATTTAGTCTGATGTACACATTCTAATGAGACATCCATGACACAGTTGTGTTTTTTAGCGCAGTGAGGACACCTAGTTAGACTACATAAACGGTTGTCAGCACTTAAATCGGTTGAGCAATGAAGCACTTGAGATGCTATTTTCAAGCTGGCCGCCCATAAATCTCTTCTGTGGCTTCATTTACCGTCTGCTGTAATTGCTAATCCAAGCTGACATCACCAGTGTCATCTTTCCATAATGGACACACCATATGAGAGGCTGGTGCCAACGCAATGCTACTGTCCACTTTAGAAGTAAACTGGGATAAGTGATCCTGTCACAGAGGTACTCATCGAATAACACATCCTAACTACCTTTACATCACGCAAGAGATGTGATACTACAATCACTGTCAATGCATTCATGGACTGCTGGCTTCCAATGGGCTTCAAGCCCAGTTCTACTGAAATACTCATTTTTATTATTGTACAGGGTAGGGAAGGCATAGAACCCCTGTTCGGTATTTACTGCCGTTTGTGTCCACATTTGGGAAGTTCCCCATGTATTGGCTAGAGTTGAGCTTTCAGCACTAAGGTCTACCCATTACAGGTTTATATCTCTACTACTGCCTACAGGGTCTGACTTTAGCAGCTGCATTCTCCCAGTTGCTATTGTATATTCATTTTCATGTATTTTACAAGAGAGTCCTGCTCAAAGTCTCTGCATCAGGAGGGGTGCAGCTCCTTCACTGGGGACCCTTGAGTAGAAACATTCCCCCTGAAATATGTAACTCAATTAGCTGGGGTTCATACGCAGCTGAATGTTTGAGAAGATTGCCTCCTAATTTGAAGAATTCATTCTAATCAGTAGCATATGTATAAAAGACAAATCTAAAAGCCAATATATTAAAACAAGGCATAGCTTTCTACAATTCAGAAAGGAAACCGCTAAATATAAAAATGATGAATGTTCAATGCTGTAATATTTAACGTATTAAAAACTAGGTGAACAACATTGTTGGCAGCTGCCAACCTTGGTATACACAAGCACTGCGTAGATTAAAGGTTCTATACAAGTACTTGTAATAATAGTAATAACCAAGATTGAAAAGAAAAGAAAAGAAAAAAAAAACGATCTATTGCCACTGCTGACACTGGAAGGCATGACCGTTCTGGATGCCGAATTAACATTTCAAGTTAAGCATGGGTGATTGGTTACTAGGACACAGGGTGGTCCTATCAACCAATCACAAGCTGATTAACAGGAAATGTGCAGCTCCGGGGCTCCATTCAGAACTGTCCTGCCTCCTGACGGCAGCTCTAGACCTGCTGTCTCTACTGCCCTCAGCCCTGTGTAAGGTAGGGCAGGGGAGAGGGCTATGCAGCTGTAAGGAGGTGGAAGCCAGGAGTGTTATATGGGAGGGGGGGGGGGGTGGCTTGGGGGAGCTGAAGAAGGAGGTGTGCGCTATAAAAGGGGGGCTGAGGACAAGAATTTAAGGGGGGGGAGGGTGCAGGGGGGGACTAAGAGTACTGACTAAGTACTGCTGTAATAATGTGATTGTGATGTGAAGGGTCTGAGGCTACGTTTACATCATTGCAACCTGCATTGTGCGTATAGGCAGCCTTTTAATTTCAATGGGCAGCCTTACATGCAGAAACGCAGAAAAAAGTCTTGCAAAAACGTGCTGCGTTTGCCGATGAGCAGCGGTGCTATTAGAAATCAAATCTGTGATACAGACCTCTGCAGGAATACAATTTTACTGGCTGGACCTCTGTGGATTTTAATTCAGTACATCTGATCTATTGAAATTTGGAGACCAAATTTTTCCAGTCCCACAACATGAAGCCCTGAAAAACCTGCAATGTCCACTTTTTTGGCCAGTGATGTACATTGGCCTTTAGATGCACATGTGCTTTCAGATAAAGGAGGGGAATGCTGTTTATTTAGCACCCCCAATTCCAATCCAAAAAACTAGATCAGGGTTGGCTACAAAATGCTAGTAACCCAGAAAAGATTTTTAAAAAGTGATCCTGAAATAATTTGCAGCAAGTGACCTCAGATCTGCATACTGACTCAAAGTGATAGCACCTGCACTGCAAGGGTTAAAGTAGAAGTTCACCTTTGGGAACATGTTACATGTTCCACCCATTTTTAGGGTGGAACATGTAACATGTTCCCATAGCTGCAGCCGTGCCTGCCGCCCCCCCCACCTCTGACAGATAATACGGGGAGAAGTCTTCCCATACTGTCAAATTTGAAAACAGCGCAGCCGTGTGGGGTTCCGCTCACACGCCCGCGTCATTCATTCACGGACTTCCGTGAATGAACTACAAGTCCTGACAGCCTTAGTGGTTGTGGACTTGTAGTCTTCAATGAAGTACCACGGCGCTGTGGAGCGCCATGGTAGTTCATTGAAGATTCCGGTCAGTAATATCTGCTTGACCGTACATCCCGTATGGCAAGCAGATATTCTGACAGGTCTGCAGGAGACCTGCATGGCACCAGCGATCTACTGATCACTGGTGCAATGCTTTTCAGGCTCCTTTGGACAAAAATAATAAATGCACATTTTTTACCTTCAAAAAAAAAAAATGTGCATTATTTTTGTCCAAAAGCTGAACTTATCCTTTAACTGCTTGTTTGGGTCTAGAGGACAAAGTAATGCACTTGCCCAAACCTCTGCTCCTGCAAGCTCCACTGTGCTTCTAGACCAGCAATGGGCAAACTACAGCCCGCGGGCCGTATACGGCCCGGCAGACCTTTTAATCCGGCCCGTGGAGCGTGATACTGTCAGGATGGCTGTCAGGATGTGTGTAGGCGGGGCAGCGTGACGAACGTGAGGGAAGCTAGGCTCCTCTCACAGTCCGCCCTGAAGACCGGAACAGCGCGGGAACACGGCGAGAGGAACGCGCGGAGCAAAGGTAAGTAAATTGACACAGGGGGGTCTTGGGGACTTAATATGGGGGATGAATTACTATAGGGGGGATGAATTACTATATGGGGGATGAATTACTATATGGGGGGATGAATTACTATATGGGGGATGAATTACTATGCTTACTATGGGGGAATATTACTATACTTACTATGGATGACACATACACATCATTCATCTACTCTTGGTCCGGCCCCCGGGTCCAATATATGAACCCATTGCGGCTCTCAAGTCAAAAAGTTTGCCCACCCCTGTTCTAGACTGTCTACCACAGCCTTTTCTAGCCTATGTTCTTGTGGTCTAAGGTCCTCTGACAGAGACTGATTCCGGGACCATAGCTCTGCAATGGACATAAGGATGCTAAGGAATGGTCCAATGCTGAACACAGGGAAGCAAAAACTGCTGAGGGAGCAGAGCATTGGGTAAGCAAAACTACTCTTCTGTCCTCCAGAAGAAAGCAAGGTGTTAACCCTTGCAGTGCAGGTGCAGCCTCACTGCAAGGAAATGTTTTTAGATTTCTTGGAGTTGGGCATTAATGTCCATATGTTATTAGCAGGAATTTTCAACACAAATCCTAAAATAAATGTAATTTTTAATTGTAAATAACACCATAAAGCTGAAATTCTAAAGTACCCTGGTACATAAAGTTGGAGGGGTGGAAGGGGCTGAGCAGAGATTTTTACATAACTTACCTAAGCAGCTATGGCAGCAGCAAGGGTGACAAGCTACAGAAGGAAGAATGTTGTCATCTTACCCAATGGTTTCACTGGCAGTTTTACTGGCATGTGCATCTCACATCACATTAAGCTGTGAGCCCATTTGAAAAGAAATCAAAAGTACAGCAGACACCCTAACACCCAGTTTTATGCATAGATACAGTTTAACACACATTATATAAAAGTGTACCCATTCAGTGCTCCACCCCATCCAATAATTTTAGAAGTCACAAGTTCAGATTGTGGCTACTTACCATGGGCGTCTTGTACCGGTGGCTCACCACTTCTTTAGTTTCAGGAACTAGAACCGGATCCAAGAGACAAAACACAGAGTTCAAAAAAACACAGAGAGAAGACACAAGACCAGAGGGAGAGAGGACACCCAGCCAGGGGCCTACGGAAAACATCCAAGGGGACGAATGGTCACAGACAGGATGATACGGGGGAATTAGGACCACAGGGTCACACAATGTTAGCAGTGAATCAAGTAGCACAATGACACCCAGGGAAGCAAGGTCAGTAGAGTTAATTAGGCAGCAATGGTTAGTTTTCTTATTGAGGAGGAGAGCCTACAAGCCTTTTCAACAACCAAGTAGCTAATTAGCAAGTTAATTAAAAATGTCCAAAGCCAAGTTTATTAATGTTACGTCTTTGAGCAGTTAGTCAGGAGTAGTTCAGAGCCTGGAGCTCAGAAATGTCACCTCTAGAGTTCATTGGAGGATTGAATCATCTATTGGCTGCTTATATCTCTAACATAATCAAATGAGAAATATAATTTTAGAGTGAATTGATTATAGAAAGATTTCAGTTAAAGGGGACCCCATCTTTGGACAGGAAGCTGCCATGATGTGGGTTGAACCAATAATCGGCTTGGATTATAAAGCAATTAGTAGGACCAGTAATGTTTCAGCTGTCTCTGGTTCCTATTAATTCAGTAGCCTGAATATTGTCAACTCACAACATGGCTGCAGCAGACACTGTGGTCCAATTAAAAAGACTTATTCAATAAAATTGTCCAAAGAATAATGTACAAAGAACAGTGATCAATGAACAAGAAATTCTAATTAGTTGCTATGCCGTATTGCATTTTGCCTTTCTGAATAAGCACATAGATGGGGAAAAGTTTGCTCTAAAGTCAGTCTGCTGTACTCCAGTGGACAAAGCAAGCCTGCTCGACTTGGGCCAAGACAAGGTGTTAGGAGAACACACATTGGCAAAGAGATCACATTTATTGTAGCAGTGGTGCTCAATGCTGGTCCTAAAAGGTCCACTAACTTTGTATGTCTTCCATGATATCACACATGGGAATTACATTGCCACCCAGAGCAGATAATTCAGTTAAATAAGCAGGCTGGTGCGAGGAGTCACCTGGTGGCTTCATATATGTTTTGGGAACTCCAGTGGAGAAATCCCCACCATAATAAAACATATGTAAAAAAAAAAATTGAAGAGACAGACCCCTAATTGTTGGCGCAGCCAGCCTGGGAACTTAAATTTTTGCATTAGTGTCCTTAAGAGATGTAAAAATGCATTGCAAATTTTACTTTGTTGGATTTAATAAAAACTTAAAATATGAGATTTGGGTGGACTGATCCTTTGACCAGTAACAAGTCTATGAGAAAAGCATTAATCATGATATGTAAAATCAAGTCCACGTGGAGCAAAAAATGTTTAGAGCTTGTGCAGCTATGTATGTGGGGTTTTGTGGCACATGCAATCACAGATGTATTTTACACATGTGCAAAAATTCATCTATTTCACTAAGAAAACATATCTTTTTTTCCCCATGTATGCAGCAATTTGTAAAGAAAATCTGCAACTTTGGGGATAAAAAAACAAAAAAAAACCACACACAAGCACTGTTAGGGGGTCTAGAAGTCCACAGCGGAGCACCAGTGGCTAACAATTTACAACAATCTGGTCTAATAACGAGTAAGAAGGTTAATTGTCAGAGCTCTGAGCCAGTTTTAAACCATTAGATCTACATGTTAACCTGTACTCGGCTTTACAATTTTAGGTTTAATTTATAGCCCAGATTTACTTAATTTTTGATCAAGTATGGAAGGGATTAAAACCCGTCAGACACTTCTTGTCCCACATAAGCAGCAGGAAGTGGAAATCCCATCTTAGACAGTTGTTACTGCAAGAGGTGCCCCAGTTACCCTCACGTCATATTCTGGTGACAACTGTAAAATGTTGGATTTTCTATCAATTTGGTCAGTGTGGCTTTCCAACAGGGGCACAATAAAGCCTGGCAGGGGGAATAAGCCTTCCCTACCCTACTCTTAAGCAGGTATTTCTTAGTTTTGAAGAGACACCACAAGATGCCTACTATTGCCATTATTAGTCAGGGAAACCTCTTCTGTGCCCCTTTCTGATTTGTTTCCTTTTCTTACTGAAATCCGACTAAAGCCTGGTATATGCTAAGCTCAGCGGGCTGAACAATATAAAACTGAGGAGCTAGCCAAGAGGTCGCTGTACTAATGATACAATATTAGTACAGCGATCTCCATGCTGAGCTTTTGTGTTCTGACAAAGGGACTGCCCGCCCCCCCACCAAAACACATTGGTCAGCACTGGCAGCCATTGGCTGAGAGCGCTGATCGGATGCCGATCGGCTGCGGGTTTCCAGCAAACTTGTTCGACAGAAGCCGGACCAAGAGATCGGCTTCTGTCAAACAAAGACCTGTACACACGCGCCAAGTGTCAGCCAGCATCTACTGTACCAGCCGATTTAACCCGATATTTGGCCAGTGTGTATGGGCCTTTACTCTGACTCCATGACTGAGCCCTGCCAAGTGCCATTATAGTGTGCAATGAACAAACCCTTATTGGTTACTAAAGCTGAACATCGCCAAATCCGCGCAACATCGCCAAAATCTGCACGTTCCTAACCCCAGAAACCACTAAGCAGCTCATCATCATCATCATCATATCACGACTCGATTACTGCAACTCCCTCCTCACTGGCCTGCCTCGCCGCTGGCTATCCCCGCTTCAGGCAATCCTGAATACGGCAGCCAGACTCATTCACCTTACCAACGCTCCGTATCCGCCACCCCCCTCTGCCAATCCCTCCACTGGCTTCCAATTGCCCAACACATAAAATTCAAAATATTAACACTGACGTACAAAGCTGTCCATAATACTGCCCCAAACTACATCACCGAATATCCAAATACCACCCAAAACGCACCCTCCGCTCCTCACAAGACCTCCTTCTCTCAAGTTCCCTAGTATCCTCCTCCCATGCTCGCCTCAAGGACTTCTCCAGGGCGTCACCCATACTCAAACTCCCTACCCCAATCCATCAGATTACCTACTCTCCTCTCCTTTAGGCGCACCCTGAAAACCCATCTCTTCAGGGAAGCCTACCCCACCCCCTGCTAATTCCCGATCTCTTCCACTCTTCCTACCACTCCATCCCTCACATCTATTTCCTCCTGTACCACTATCCCCTCCCTCCTAGATTGTAAGTTCCAAGGAGCAGGGCCCTTGAACAACTCGTGTATCGCATTGTATTGTTATTGTACTGTCTCATGTATTGTCTCCCATTGTAATGTACAGTGCTGAGCGAACTGTGGCGCTTTATAAATACTGTATAATAATAATAAAGTAGTCCAATCAAATATAAATCCAGGTAAAGGCAGGCCCAGGATTAAAGTGAAACTAAACCAGAGAGGGGCACAAAATCTTTTCTGGCTAATAAAAGTGCTACAAAGGAGTGACTTCTAGCCCATGTGTTTGTTCTTAGGAGTGACTCTAGTTGTAAATGGAGTACAGGTTACATTTAACATACATCATCATCTTGGCCACTACTGCAACTAAAGCAAGATACAGATGGGTGGGGATGCATAGGAGTTGCTGGGCAGGCAGACAAAAGGTCAGTCAATATTTGCACACATTGGAAAACGTACAGTCAATACGGACATCATCAAACATGTTGTAGGTGAAATTATGAAGACATGATAATCTTGGGGCACACACTTCAGTATCATCAGTATGAATACACATAGATCAAAATAACAAAATAAAAAGTGATATTCTATGACAGATGAAGCTGCCAAGTTTCTTGAAAGCTTACAGTGATTTTACCCTACAGTTAACTATTAAATGTAGGAATTATCTGGTTCTCCTAAATATCTATCCAATCTCACCTTAATAGCTAGAGAACCAGTCCCCTTGCGACAACCCCATGGGGTATACAAATGCCTAATGAATTGTATACGTGGATGCTGTACTCTGCCTTCGTGCTCCTTCTGCCTGCAAAATGGGATGACATCCTGTCTTGCTCTCTAAAGATATGACAGTGTTTCCTGAGAGATGGTCTTATGCCAATTTTAGAGTTGTGAAATCATTAGCAGCTGAGCTGAAAGGATGCACTTCTGCTGCCTGCCGCCAACATACAGTCTTGCTGACCTAGGTCTCATTTGCAAAGAGTAGCCTGTGATTTTTACAGCCTACCTCCCGGGCAGAGGGGCGCACAGGCAGCGTAACGCACTCCGATACACAGTCCTGGTCACGTTAACTGTTTCCAGTTTCCTTAAAAATATATGGATGCCAATTCCTGCACAGTCCAAGTTTTGGTGCTAGCACTAACACCGATAAAAAAAAAAAAAAAGACAGAAAAAAAAAAACTCGGCTGCCAGGGAAACACAAGAGAATTAAACATACAAGGGACAGTAGTGTCTTACCTCCCCAATACAGAACCTTTTTTTTTTTTCATTTTGAGAAGAGTAACAGGTGTAATAAACCTGAACAAAAGCTTCAGGAAAACATATTTATCTCTTTTTAAAATATAACTAAAAGGGCAAAACTTTTTTTTTTTTAGTTTTGGACAGAATGGAGAGGAATGAGAACCCTTACTTTTTTATTGCGGTCTGTGTCCCCAATAAGGAGCTTCACCCTCTATATTTGCCCTATTTGCTGTTATTGCCAAAAGTGCAAGTAAAAGAAAAAAACAATTTTGGGGTGTCCCCAGAACAGGAATAGTGGGGATACCTCACAATGGGAACACTAGTTCTGGTGACAACCAGAACTAATTTTACCTCACTTTAGAGGGATTTCCTCACTTCCTGTTTTGGCTATGGGACAAGAAGTGAAGGGAAATCTCCCCAATGGGGCACGGATGGCAAAGAGAAACCTCCTTGTATGTGTAACTCTTTTGTGTTTCCCTGGAAGCCAAGTTCGTCCTGTTACCTCTTTTTTTTCCCCCCTCCCTAATCTGTGCTCCCTCTGTACAGTCAGTGTCATTCTTGTTGCCTTTTACCTTCAGCAACAGTAAATCTTAACGCTGTCAGCTGATCAGCCGCTAGTGGCTCTGATTTGAGGCACAATGTCGAGAATAGAAAGCAACTCTGTGTGTGCAGAACAGGGTATTACTGTATTTCAAACAGTATAGGAACTTATTTTGAATGTTTTGGTTTAAAGCAGAGCTCCACCCAAAAGGGGAAGTTCCGCTTTAAGCCTTTATCCCCTGCTCCCCATTAAGGATTGGCACCTTTGGGGAGTGGGGGGGTACCCGAATTTGACAGATACCTGCTCCCACCTCGATTACCTAGGCGATCGGAAGCGGAAGTTGCCCTCCCTCCCTATAGTCTTCTGGGTCACGTGACAGGTCCTAAAGACTAGGGCCATTCACAAAGCACAGCGTTTTTCTCATGTATGTGCAGTGGACACCGGCTAAGAAGCAGCAAGCTGTCACAGCTGGGTGCCCACACTGAAAATGCCAGCGCCAGGGAGAGAAAACGGCCGGTGAAACCAGCCGTGGAGAGGACACAGCTGGGCCGAGGGACAGCTAAGTGTCTGTATTTTAGAACTCCGCTTTAACTTTTGCATACCTGCACAAGAGGCCAGCCTGAAGTGATCCATCAGGACTTTTTCTGACTAAATTTCCACTTTAAGTGTCCTGTGACTTTGAAACCCAGGGCATTGTATTATGCAGATTTCAAATTTGGCTAGGAATCTGTCCCTTTGGCCTGACCCCATCTACCTCCTGAGCTCCACTACTGAACATGGAGGTCACCCATCACATTGGCACATCAACAGTGAGGCAGCTCAATTCAGTATATTTTCATGACAGAGCTCCCGGAGGTGCAGGACTTGCTGACTGCTCTGGAAAACATCTAAAGCAATGTTTGCATCTCTGTGTGCCTGCATTAAATTGTCTGAATTATAAAATATTGTCTAAATTATAAGTAGAGCCTCTCCTTACTAATTCAGATGCTTTCACAACAAAATAAAACAATATAACCACCTAAATTAAAAGCTCTGCTCTCACTGCACGGAGACGTGCACAATACGATTAACAGGGGTTTCCTGAAGCAACTAGATTTTCCTTTTACCTTTTACAGCATATAGAAAGTGGAAAATGGATTAGCAGTGAGACATTTTGGTAAACTAGAACCTTCAGAAGAAGGAAGGAAATATATATTTAAAAGGGATCCTGCCTCCAAGTGGTCACAGCCAAGTGTACTTTAGCACCCACACTCCTTAACAAAAGTTAAAGCGGAGTTCCACCTGAAAGAAAAAAATATAAAAGTCAGCAGCTACAAAAACTGTATCTGCTGACTTTTAAAATACAGCCACTTACCTGTCCCTCAGTCCAGCAGTGTCCTCACCACAGCTGGTTTCACCGGCCTTCTTCTCAATGGATTTTCCACCTTCAGATGACTTTAAGCTACTGGCTTCCATCTATTCTCATGCAACATTTATTAAATACAATGCCTTTAACTAGAATTCTTCTACAAATGTTTTTACATTAGATTTGTCATTGGGCTTAATTTACAAAAGTAAACCTCCTGGTGCCAATGGCTATGAATGCCTTTACAACCTGCAGCTGCGAGACACCTCAGGAGATCCCAAAGCCTGCAGTTTGCCAGTTTAAGCTCCTGGAAAATGTAGCACTGAGGCATGCTGCCAGCACAGCTTGCAATTCACTGGGGGGTCTCAGCAACCTACTAAGCAGCACCCCAGAGTGCAATATAGGATATGCTTTCGGATGGCAAAAATAAACCTTACATCTGTTACTCTATCCAAAATGGGAAAAAAAAATGGTTCTGTTTTTAGTTCCACTTTAAAGCTGAAGTCCAAAAAAAAAACATTTGTGGATAATAAAATGGGCATAAATGGGGCCTTTTTTCTGCCAAAAGATTTGTATGTCCGTCTGTTCAGTTCTGAGATTTACACAGTTCTGCCACATAGCACAGTCCTATCTAGCACAGCAAGAGTCCGATCTAAGCAGCACCTACAGGTTTTGTTGCTCCCCAGCCTGTGAACAGACCATGAAAGGAGCAGCAGAACACTGATGAACTCATCATTGCTATCAGCAGCATTTCTCTACAGTACTGACTGGTTCCTTGAACTGCTTCTCCCTCCCCTGTCTGAGCTCAGCTGTAAAGGGACTACAAGTGGCTGATACCACGTCAAACTTAGTTCATTTAACCTTGTAAGTAGAAGTTTGTTACCAGTTTCCTTTGCTTATGCAGGCACAGGTTCTTGTTCAGATTTTGCAGTGGCAGAAGGAAATGCATGGAATATATTGTAGAAATGTAAACAGCTGTGTCTACAGCTTCACTATATCATCAAGTAAAACTGAACATTTCCCAAAAGGCAAAAAAGCTGCTTCAAAGGCCAGTGCCAGCAAAAGATAAAAAGAAAAGGAACAAATACTGTTTACAAAACTATTTCCTCCTTTTACTATACAGAAGGTATTTGAAAGAAAGGAAAGCTTTTCTGTTAAAGGGAACTTGCCATGATAGACTATGGCAGACTATTGCAGCAATTGCTAACAATTCAAGTCAATGAACCGGAACAAGCAGTAAGGCTAGGTTCACATCTGTGCGGGTGGTGCAGCTGCGGATCCGCACAAAAATCCATGCAGCTGCACTACCCGCACAGAAGAATGCGGACCCGCGGGCGGGTGCCATTAAATCTAAATGGCATGCCGCCCGCACTGGAAATCGCAACCATACTGGGAACAGAGGTTCCCGTGCCGGCTGCCTTTTCAGACGAAGTGCAGGGACTTCTTCCCTGCGTGTCCCAGGGCATGGAAGTCCATTCAAATGAATGGGCTCTCGTGCCCGCTCAAAATGCAGACCGCAGGAACGCGGATATGTGAACCACGGGTAAAGTTGAATCTACTACATTGTCTGGATCCCTGAAGGCAGCATTAAAACAAGGGTGAGACTGACAATCCAAGATGCTTGTAAAACTTGAAAATCCTTTGTCAATCTTTTAAATTCTGCCAGGATTCCCCCTTAAAAGTGGAAATTGGAATGTTTTTAGATTTTTATTTTAAGATTTAAAACCATAAAGTTTTAATATTGTGTAAAGTGTATGCGCATTCTGAGAAGACGGCCCCGCAGTATTTACTCACTTTTAGAGTCTATACTGCTATACATAGCTGCCATAGCCACATGGGGAGATATTGCCCATACAGCACATAGATGTTAGGGAGGTGACCTTGCTTAGCTGTGTGTGAGTTCTGAAAAGCAGGAGATCAAATTACAGACAACTTACAGCATAGCAGTAAAATGACTCAGCAGGAGTGACTAAACTGGCCAACTCACTGCCTGAAAGTGGTAAATATTAAAAATTCATATAGAACATTTCATATTTACTCGCATAAAAACAAAATGTTTTATATACATTTTTCCTAGCTCTTAAAATAATAAATAGGGGAAATGTAAATTAAAAAAAAAAAAAAGCACATTCCTCAAGTCATCTGAAGATAAAGACTATTTCGCAAACTACTCTGCTTGCCTCTTGACACTTAGCTGATGTAGCATGTTACCTGATCTGGAGAAGGAAGGTTTTCAGAGCTGCCACAGGCAGATGGAGAATATTATACAGCAGTAACTCAGATAACCCTTTAAAGATCTTTCAATGGCTCCCTGCAAACTCCTAAAGATTTTTCAATGGCTCCCTGCAAACTCCTAAAACTCCCTCTCGTCTACTGCACTAGAAGCTCTGGGGGGACCCTGTTTTCTGAGTTACTGCCATGGCAATACAGACCCAGCAGCACAATGATGGTATTTACCAAATTCCTCCAAGACAAAGACGCCCCGTACAGTGTTACACTTTTTAATGTGATTCAGCTGTATGAAAACCTGGAGGAGAGAGGGGACAGAAAAATGGGAAGGAAAAGGGTACAGAGGAAGAAAAGGGACAAATAAAAGGCGTAACGGAGGAAAAACAAAAGGTGAACATGAGAAAGTGAGGGGATGGACAAGATAGATAATGGAGAGGAGAAGGGACAAGAAAGGAAGCAGGAGAGAGATTTTGAAGGGAAAGGGAGAGAGACAGAAGGCACTGGTTAATTTTTCATATCCAGGATTTCCACTGGTGTTCACAACATTTCTGTAACAGACTGATGTGTGAAAAGGGAAAAAACAGCTTTGGAGTAATGGGAAGACGTACCCTAACACAGCAAAATATCAGGAGGTAAACCATAACTAAAGCCGGGGGGGAAAAAGTGTTGGAGGTCAGACGGAGGGGGGGGGAGGGGGGGAATGGGGGAGGTGAGGGAGTAGCACAGACAGCTCAAAAACTAACGGTGGGGGGGGGGGAAGAGAGCAGCGAGAAGCAAAGATGGCGGCAGAGTGAGTACCTTCCGCTCCTTGCAGGAGGAGTGAGCGTGGGAGAGAAATGAGACTGTTAGTGACACAGTGAGACCACACCTCCCCTCACTTCCTAATACCCCAGCAACACACAGCCCAGACCAAGACATCAACACGGGGAGGCCAGGAAAAAGCAGCCCCGTTATCAAATCCATCCCTGCTCCTCACCCAGCACGGAGCGCAGGCCTTGCTCAGGCTGCATTGAAGGGGGAAATCGCTGGCTATTATTTTGACTTGCGGTATCAGTGTAGTTTTTTTTTTTTTTTTCAGGTTTCCTTTTTCTTTACATTGTTTGCAGCCAGTGGATGCACTGAAGACCTCTAACACTGATATCTTCCTCCGGTTCCCTCTTTTCCTCCGGATCGTTCTACTATGAGATGAAGAACCAAATGATCCCTAAAATGACCTGCGGAGCCCTGGGTGACCTTGTGATGACTTGAAGGCCACCGTGGTGACCTGGAGGATCACATTCTGCCCCTGGGTGACCTGTGGATGAGCTGTGTATGGAGGGTCAGCACTGGGAGAGGTCAGCCCGAGCCAGGGAGGGGTTACAAAGAGACAGCGCCAGACACCACCCACCCCCGGCAGGCAAAGGGCAGCATGGAGCAGAGACAGCGAGAAACGGCACATGTGTCACACAGCTACAGCAAGCAGAGAAAACACAGACTGAGAGACAGAGGGGAGCTCAAGATATAGGGGTACCCGGCACACTGCAACTTGCACACTTGTATCACCCCAACACTTACATGTTGCCCACCCTGGCCCCCGACATGACTACACTGCAAAAAAAAACACTTTACACACATATAATGGATTTATGGGAATAAAACACAACTTATGAAACACAAAGCACATAATGTTACTGGACTTGGACGGACAAACCAGCTATGTGATCACTTCTAAATCCACGTAATACAGTGCTGGAGTCCCCCGCTCTCGCCCTTCCCTTCTAACAAGCATACCGCACACTCCCTAAGTCATACTCCCCTCCACATTCACACTCCCCTCATACCTGACTGTGCATGAATTTCAGATTAATCCCTTCCAAGGTCACCTGAAGAAGACCCCCTTCCCCAGTCTTCATGTCTTGAACAGGGAACTCACCACCAAGCTCTGGACCTGTAAAGAAAATTTAGGACAAGAGAGTTGAGCACAAGCATATTTGCAAATAACCTGCACTGTAATCACCAAGTACTATGTTCGAAAAAATGTTTTAACCCTTTTTCTCATCCAATCCATATATAAAAACATTCCCTGACACAAGGTCCTGTGCTGGGGATACGTTTACAAACGTCCCCACTTTGAGATAGCTGACATTTTGTACAGCTGGTGGCTCTCAATCCCAGCTGTTCCTACAACTACCAGCAACCATTCAGTGGTTTACGATTATATAAACACTATGTCAGCTATGACACCGTTACCTTAGAGGCTTCCCTGCTCAAATAAGCCCTCAGCATGGAAAAAACACTTCCCCTTCAGGTTGCAGTGTGATCTGCAGTGCCATCTATTTCATAGTGAAATTGTCAGATACATTATTAAAAATTACTTAAAAAAACAAGAGCAACCCCATGCTCCTTTGTATACACAGAGCTGAAGAAGGGATTTAATACATTTGCCTTCTCTTTGTCCCCAGTCACCCACTCTAGATTATTGTGTAAAGGCCCTACAGTCAGGTCCATAAATATTGGGACATGGACACAATTCTAACATTTTTGGCTCTATACACCACCACAATGGATTTGAAATGAAACGAACAAGATGTGCTTTAACTGCAGACTGTCAGCTTTAATTTGAGGGTATTTACATCCAAATCAGGTGAACGGTGTAGGAATTACAACAGTTTGCATTTGTGCCTCCCACTTGTTAAGGGACCAAAAGTAATGGGACAATTGGCTTTTCAGCTGTTCCATGGCCAGGTGTGTGTTATTCCCTCATTATCCCAATTACAATGAGCATATAAAAGGTCCAGAGTTCATTTCAAGTGTGCTATTTGCATTTGGAATCTGTTGCTGTCAACTTTCAAGATGAGATCCAAAGAGCTGTCACTATCAGTGAAGTAAATACCCTCAAATTAAAGCTGATAGTCTGCAGTTAAAGCACATCTTGTTCGTTTTATTTCAAATCCATTTGTGGTGGTGTATAGAGCCAAAAATGTTAGAATTGTGTCAATGTCCCAATATTTATGGACCTGGCTGTACATGCCCGGACCGGACCTACGTACTATTAATAGATTTGAAGAATTTTTGGGGGTTGGTTCTGCTATCTTTTGCAATCTGTCGTTCGTTTTCAATTTTTGCGGCCTTGATTTCCTTTTTGAATATTCTGTTATATTCTTTGTAATGTTTAAACGATGATAGCATTCCTTCATTTATATATTGAATAAAAGCTCTTTTCTTATCTATAGCGATTTTAACTTTTGGTTAGATTTTTAGCCTTTTAACCTCCTTGCGCCCGCCATATAAAACAATGACAGGTGCAAGGCGGCTCTGGGAGCGCGCAGCGCGGCGATCGGTGGTGTGCCATGTCCCTCGGACACAGCGGATCACCGATCGACAGAAATAGCCAAAGATGTTGGCTCTGTCATGTGATCAGCTGTGTCCAATCACAGCTGATCATATGTAAATAGGGAAATGCCGGTTATCGGCATTTCTCTCCTTACGAGCTGTCACGCTAACAGGAGAGGAGAGCCGGTAATTGGGATTCCTCAGAGGGGACATGTACATTGATCATCAGGGCACTGAGGATCAGTGTGCCCTTATGATCAGTGTAGCCCTAGCAGTGCCAGCTGTCAGTGCTCATCCATGCCACCTGCCAGTGCCCATCAGTGCCAGATCAATGCCACATATCAGTGCCTACCAGTGCACATCAATGCCACATAGTGCCCGTCTGAGCTGCCTTTCAGTGCCAGCTATCAGTGCTGCCAGTGAGTGCCGCCTAACAGTGCCAGCGAGTGCCGCCTGCAACCTAACAGTGCCAGTGAGTGCAACCTAACAGTGCCAGTGAGTGCAACCTAACAGTGCCAGTGAGTGCAACCTAACAGTGCCATATATGAGTGCTGCCTTTCAGTGCCCATCAGTGCTACCTACCAGTGCCTCATCAGTGCCACCTATCAGTGTCCATCAGTGCACATCACTGCAGCCTCATTAGTGCACATCAGCGAAGGAGAAAAATCACTTATTTGAAAATTAAAAAAAAAAAAAGTTTTTTTTTTTTTTTTTTTAAATTTTGTAGTGGTTTTTGGTTTAAGAAAAAATAAAAAACCCAGTGGTGATTAAATACCACCAAAATAAAGCTGTGTCACAAAAAAAATTATAAAAATTTCATATGGGTACAGCGTTGCATGACCGTGCAATTGTCATTCAAAGTGCGACAGCGCTGAAAGCTGGAAATTGGCCTGAACAGGAAGGGGGCATAAGTGCCCGGTAGGCAAGGGGTTAAACTTGTTGCCCATGGGAATATACTTTGCAGTGTATTCACATACAGTCTTTTCGAAGAACTCCCATTTCTGTGTTGTGTTCATCAATGCCAATATTTCCTCCCAGTCTAAGTCTTGGAGAGCAGCTCTCAGCCTTATTAAAACCATTCAAATAAAAGACTGTTAGACCATATAAAAATGATTTATGTGTGCAAATTAGGGACCCATTTATAAAACCATGAATGTGACATTTACCAGGCATTCATAGGTGGTTAATTATACCATGAAATTTAAAACACATACACATGGAAGATTCACTTGTAGTGAATACCTGGTTAATACACATTCACTGCTTAAATATGTCCTTAGAACAGCCTCAACCCTCTCAACACAGAGGAACCCTTGAAATAATTTTCCAGTCTCAGGGAACCTCTGCTAAAAATGACTATATCTACAAATTATTATTATACAGGATTTACCATATTTTTCGCTCCATAAGACGCACTTTTTTCCCCCAAAAAAAGGGGGGAAAATGTCAGTGCGTCTTATGGAGCGAATATGGAGCAGCTGGTCCGGTATTTCCGCCGCTGCCACCATGTCAGAATACCGGGCCGGCCGATCAGCTCTTCTCTTCTGCAGGACCTTACCTGTTCCTCTGTCTAGCGTTCCCGCGTCGGCTTCTGTGACAGTGCCCACTGCGCATGTGCGAGAAGCGCTGCGCTTTGTGACTGGTCCAGAGATTGCTGGGACACGACAGGTCCCAGAAGGCGCCGGGCCATTCTCGCGCATGCGCAGTGGGCACCCGGCTGTCACAGAAGCCAGCGCAGGAAGAAGCCAGCGTGCCCACACTAAAGAAAGGACAACTTCAGGTACCCGCTCCCCCTCCCTCCCCAAAGGTCCGCAGTCTCTGGTCATCCCCTGTACTGTCTGCAGTCTCTGGTCATCTGTACTATGTCCGCAGTCCCTGGCATTTTCCCTGTACTTGGTACAGGAGATGACCAGAGACTGCGGACACAGTACAGGAGATGACCAGAGACTGCGGACCTTTGGGGACAGTACAGGAGAGTTGACCAGAGTGTGGGCACGCTGGCTTCTTCCTGCGCTGGCTTCTGTGAGCCGGGTGCCCACTGCGCATGGGGAATGGCTGCGGGTACAGGGGGAGCTGGGTACAGTACAGGAGATGAACTGTTGTCCTTTCTTTAGTGTGGGTCACGCTGGCTTCTTCCTGCGCTGGCTTCTGTGCAGTCTCGGGTCATCTCCGGGTGCCGCAGTCTGCGCTGTATGCGTCCGCAGTCTCGGAGAATCTCCTGTACTGCGTCCGCAGTCTCAGGAGTACTGACCAGAGACTGAACAATGTCCGCAGTCTCGGGTCATCTCCTGTACTGCGTCCGCAGTCTCGGGTCATCTCTGTACTGTACTGCGTCCGCAGTCTCGGGTCATCTCCTGTACTGCGTCCGCAGTCTCGGGTCATCTCCTGTACTGCGTCCGCAGTCTCGGGTCATCTCCTGTACTGCGTCCGCAGTCTCGGGTCATCTCCTGTACTGCGTCCGCAGTCTCGGGTCATCTCCTGTACTGCGTCCGCAGTCTCGGGTCATCTCCTCCTGTACTGCGTCCGCAGTCTCGGGTCATCTCCTGTACTCCGCAGTCTCGCTGTAGTCCGCTCTCGGGTCATCTCCTGTACTGCGTCCGCAGTCTCGGGTCATCTCCTGTACTGCGTCCGCAGTCTCGGGTCATCTCCTGTACTGCGTCCGCAGTACTCTCGGGTCATCTCCTGTACTCCGCAGTCTCGGGTGTCAGTCTCGGGCAGTCTACTGCGTCCGCAGTCTCGGGTCATCTCCTGTACTGCGTCCGCAGTCTCGGGTCATCTCCTGTAGTAGTCTGTCCGCAGTCTCTCGGGTCATCTCCTGTACTATGTCTGCAGTCTCGGGTCATCTCCTGTACTGTGTCCGCAGTCTCTGGTCAGCTCCTGTACTGTGTCTGCATCCGTCAGCTCCTGTACTGTATCCGCAGTCTCTGGTCAGCTCCTGTACTGTGTCTGCAGTCCATTGGTTCAGAATATTTTTTTTTCTTGTTTTTCACCTCTAAAACCTAGGTGCATCTTATGGTCAGGTGCGTCTTATGGAGTGCGAAATACGGTATATAGCTCCAACAGTTTGCTCAGCACTTTACAATATAAAGGGAGACAATACAGTTCAATACAAGAGGGTTGGGAGGGCACTGCTCATTAGTGTGATGGTCAGTGGGAAGAACTGTCCTTTCACTTGTGCACATTCGGAAGAACTCCCCTCTTACAGATAGCTAACAGGATCAAAGGTGTCAGTAGGAACTTATCTGAAAGGTAGAAATTTCACATTGCTCAAGGAATCCCAAGAAACCTCTGGAGGAACCCTAGGGTTCCATGGAATTCTGGTTGAGAAACCCTGCCTTAGAGTTAGCCAACACATGCTGATGCTTCTAAATTTGGCCTGGATTAAAAAATAATGACTATACCCCCAAGAAACAAAAAATGTACTTTAGCCATGTGAAAATAGCTGCACAACTGCAAACTACCTAAGCAAAAAAGTTTCAAACCTGCACAGAAAGATATTTACTATTTTTATAATCATCATGTTACCTCCCATGCTAGGCAAAATAAAACAACAAACTGACAGTTAAGAAAAAAATAACATTCATGGTCTGAAAAGAACGAATATGGCAAATAACACAACATGGTGAATTCAGCCAATACTACTGCTACCAGCTTCCTGGTAAACCAAACAGGCACTCCACAAACTAACAAAAGCTAGTAAGACTATATAGGGAGAGCATTGCAGGATCACCTGGTTTAATGCTTTGCTGCCGTGCTGCTGCGCGCTCCATGCTCTCCTTCACGCAATAATACAGCTCACGACACTGGAATGGCAAAAGAAATGTTTAGATAATAAGCTTGTGGTCACATTTTTCATAAAAATATAGAATTTATTTTTCACCATAGGAGAAATTATATATATATATATATATATATATATATATATATATATATATATATATATATATATATATATATATATATATATATATATATCTGGGACATACCTACAACTGGATCAGGAAAACAAACTGGAGTAAATAAGGCATTAAAATAAAAGACAGCACTACCAAGAGGGCCTGGTAAACTTTCCTGCTGTTGGCTCTAAAAGCGGCCAATAGAGTCATGCCATGGAACTGTAGCAATGTTGTAAAAATTTTGAATGGCATCTTTTGGCAATGTCAGACCAGCATTTTCTATTCTTCTTGTATGGTCCACCAAGGTGTCTGGCCAGTTACAGGGGAAAAAATTTGGCTTCTGACGATTGTACATCAAAGTGAACCTGTGTCATCCTTAAACATTTCAAGGTAACAGCCTAGCAAAGTAGACTGCAAAATACCTGCCTGCATGTACCTATAAAAGGCAAAGTTCACCTTTGCCGTTAAGTTAAGAAAAAAAAAAAAAAAAGTACACTTATACGTTTACACAGGGGCCTGAAAATTACTGCACCCACAATCAGTGGATGGCAGGTGCAATGTCAGGCTCCTGCAGACAGACACTTGCTACAGCTTTCAGTTACTGAGCTGCAGAAGTATTAACAGACTACTAGTGTGTTAATCAGAGCACTCCTAATCTATTAAGAACTACAAGTATGTCTGCCGCTTTGGCAGACGGGACTTGTTTATTCATTCACAGATCTCTGTGACTGATTGACGATTAAACTGTGAGTGGAGAAGTGCACAGCCGCATCAGTTTTAAAAGGTACAGTGGCAGCAGTGGAAAAAACCTTCACCTGTTCTTACTGGAGGGGGGGGGGTCTCAAGAGGTGAGGGTTTGGTTCCTTAGCAACAGGTTACATCCTAAATACAGGTGCAAAACACATAATATGTTACCAAAAGGTGGAGATAGGCCTTTAAATCCATCCAGCACCTAATTTTGAAACATCCTGTACCAGAGGCGTAGCTGGGGGGGGCATGGGGGTGCATATGTCCCCGGGCGCCAAGGTACAGGGGGGCCAAAATGAGGCTTACAACGTTACATTATAATAAGTGAACAAGGGTAATAGAAACAGTCACAAGATCACCGCAGCGGCTGCAGCAGATGTGTCATCTGATACGTCTGTCATCCGCAGTGATGCTGCTGCCTGCCAGCCACTGCAGCCAGCCGAGATACGATTCTGCGTACAGCCGGTCCCGTCTGCACGTATTGAGCGTTGATAAAAAAGTGGGCATATGTGACACACTTGTTATGGTGGCAGAAAAAGATGGCTTAAACTCTATTAAGGTACATGTAGGCTGTATGTTGTGTACATAAAGTGTTTATTAAATTAGTAGTACTGTTCTAGTATAAAATAGTCCATAACTAATATAATTTCTATAAATTTGCTTCTTTAAATACAATGTTTCATTAAAATTTTAATTGTTTTTCCTTATCCAATGTAATAGAAAAATGTGATTAAACGGGGAGGGGGGCTGGGCGCCAATTTTATAGTTTGTCCAAGGGCGCAAAATATCCTCGCTACGCCTCTGTCCTGTACCTGGAGGAACACTTACTGAAATCTCTCTGCAAATCAGAGATAAACTATATTGCCAAAAGTATAGGGACACCCCCTCCAAATCATTGGATTCAGGTGTTCCAATCCCCTCCATGGCCACAGGTGTATAAAATCAAGCACCTAGGCATGCAGACTGCTTCTACAAACATTTGTGAAAGAATGGGTCAATCTCAGGAGCTCAGTGACTCCAAGCGTGGTACCGTGATAGGTTGCCACCTGTGCAATAAGTCCATCCATGACATTTCCTTGCTACTAAATATTCCACGGTCAACTGTTAGTGGAATTATAACAAAGTGGAAGCAACTGGGAACAACAGCAACTCAGCCACCAAGTGGTAGGCCACATAAAATGGCAGAGCGGGGGTCAGTGGATGCTGAAGTGCACAGAAGTGACTGCGCACCAGAGCACAAAGAATGGTCCATAAAGACATGGATGTCGAGTTTGGGGTGGAGTAACTTGACTGGCCTGCACAGAGTCCTGACCTCAACCCAACAGAACACCTTTGGGATGAATTAGAGCAGAGACTGCAGCCGGGCCTTCTCATCCGACATCAGTAAAAATGAGGAAGGGTTGTAACAGCGCAAACACTGCAAAGTCCTGGGAAATGGAGTACCCGGGGTAGTATGGGGTGATGGTGGTATTAGTGGCTACTGTATGAAGAGCGTAGGATTCCGTGTGGCACTGAGGGCAAGGCTTCCAAATAAGCTGTAGCAACTTCTGTAGATGAGAAAAAGGAGAAGTGCCTCTAAGTGCAATAAGTCTTTTAATTCAAGTCTAAATGTAGAAACACTCACATGTGTGAAGTAATGATAAGCATAAAAACCGTGGTTAACAATAGTTAACGGTGGGGTGGTAACCCGGGTGAAGAGCCGTCATCTCTCTGCGATGTGGGGAGGTCAGCTCTTGGCTGGAACAGCGTGGTGGCTGGAGGGGGAACAGCGGTGAGGCCAGCCTTCATGCACGTCCTCCCTCAAAGCCGGATGGAACGCACGCTGGAACGTAGCGGCGGCGTGGCCGTGATGACGTCAGATCCCAGGGTGCACTGCGACGCGTTTCGGAGCATGCACTGGCCGTGGAAGGCGGAAGTGCACTCCTTTTTCAAGCAGCTACCCCACCGTTAACTATTGTTAACCACGGTTTTTATGCTTATGATTACTTCACACATGTGAGTGTTTCTACATTTAGACTTGAATTAAAAGACTTATTGCACTTAGAGGCGCTTCTCTCCTTTTTCTCATCCGACATCAGTGCCTGACCTCACAAATGTGCTTCAGGAAGAATGGTCAAACCTTCCCATAGACACCCTCCTAAACCTTGTGGACGGTCTTCCCAGAAGAGTTGAAGCTGTTATATCTGCAAAGGGCGGGCCAACTAAATATTGAACCCTACGGACTAAGACTGGGATGCTATTAAAGTTCATGTGAGTGTAAAGGCAGGCGTCTCAATAATTTTGGCAAAATAGTGCATGACATATCCCTGTGGAACTCCAAAGTGTAGGTACCTCAGCATCTATCAAACAAACCACTGCATGGCAGGCAGGAACTCTCCGTCAACAGAGAAGGAAGGGTACTAGGGGTTTCGTGGATGCTGTAGAGAAATTTAAAGGTAAATAATGACACCTGGGGTCTGCCTTCTTTGCTGGCCTACTGTTACAGGGACAAGGTCATGTTTACCATGGTGTAGCATCCCTTATGCTTTTAACAACACTTTGTAAATGTCTGGGAACTGAACAGGCCAGTTGCTGGAGTTTTGGGAGAGAAATGTTGTCCCAGTCTTGCTTGATATAAGATTCTAGCTGCTCAACAGTCCTGGGTCGTCTTTTTCATATTTTTAGCTAGATGCCCCACACCTTTTCAATTAGTGTCTGGACTGCAGCAAGTCTAGTTAAGTACCCGGACTGTTCTACTATGAAACCATGCTGTTGTCATAGATGCTGTATGTGGTTTAGCATTTGTACTGGTGAGATATGCAAGGTCTTTCCTGAAAAAGACGCTGCCTGGACAGGTGCATATGTTACTCTAAAACTTGGGTATATCTTTCAGCATTGATGGTGCCTTTCCAGATGTGCAATCTGCGTTTTGTATATGCAATAATGCACACCCCCCCCCCCCCCCCCATAGCATCAGAAATGCAGGCTTTTGAACTGAGCACTAAAAATAAGCTGGAAAGTCCCTCTCCTTTTGAGTCTGGGCAACGCCCATGCTTTCTTTTTTTCCCATCAAAGAATGTCAAATTTTGATTTGTCTGACTGCAGAACAGTTTTCCACTTTGCAACAGACCAGTTTAAATAAGATTTGTCCGGATCATGTTCAGATTTAGCTTCTTTGCATGCTAGAGCTTTAGCTTGCATTTTTGGATGGCACAGCGAACGGTGTTCACAGTGGTTTTTGGAAGAATTCCTGAGCCCATGCAGTGAAATCTATCATAGAATCATTCCTGTTTTTAATACAGTGCAATCTGATATATTTAAAGTCTTTGCAGTTTATGTTGAGGAAGATTATTTTGAAATTGTTCAACAATTTTTAGGCGCAGCTCTTCACAGACTGGTGAACCATTGGTGCCCATCTTTACTCCTGAGACACACTGACTCTCTAAGAAGCTCTTTTTATACCCAATCATGTTACTGGGCTGTTACCAAATAACCTAATTAGCCACAAAATGTTCTTCTATTGTTTAGAAAATATAGGTCTATGAGACTTATGAGAATGCAAAATCATTGCATTCTGTTTTTATGAAGATTTTATACAACATCCCAACTTTTTTTGGAATTGGTGTTATAGCATCCAAAGTGTTCCTAGCAAGAGGTTCCTGAGTCATCCACTCATCCAGATCATCAGGGATAATAAAAGACCTTTGTGATGTATGTTTTGTCTACCAAACGTTTGAAACCAAGAACAAAACGACACCTTCCCAGTGGGCTATACCACCCTGACAGGACCTGTAAAGGACTTGGCATAGAGAGAAATAACTGTAGAGCAGTATGTAAAAACCACTATCATGTTTGCTGTCTGGAGAATGGCTATTGAAAGTGTCCGGACGTACTCACACAATCCACAGACTTGCTAACTCAAACCACTTCAGGGGACCCGCCACCCAATAAGTCTCATCACTTTCAGGACTCACCTTTTTGGTGAAAAACTTGTTGAGTTGGGTCTCTTGTCCATTTCTTCTCCACAGACAGAGAACCTTTGTTTTGGGGCAGTAGGTCATGTTAATGAGTTTTTCATACCACCAGCGTTCGTACACAGCTCCAATGTTACTGCGTAATACGATACAGTCATCGCAAACCTAAAAGACATGAGGACACAGGAACATTTTTTTTTTACTAGTACACAAACCATTCACATAGACAAGAATCTGCTATTAAACTCAACAAGCAACTTTTGTTGCTAGGAATTTTGAACTCTTCAAAAAAAAAAATTAAAAAAAAAAAAACCATTTTTTGGAGTCCATTGAGGGACACAAGAGGTCTTGAATCTTCAGTTTATTCTGCTACCTACAGATGGATTGGACACTGTCAAAAAAAAAGCCAGCCAGCCTAGGATAACCACTCTCACTACCATCATGCTTCAGTTTTGTAGCAAAGCTGTACCAAGAGCATGATCATAAACACAGAGTAGTAGGACTTGTGTCACTTAAGGGATTCCAAGAAAAGGATTTACGTTGAGTACAAAATCCCATTTCCTTTCTTGTTAATTGAGGGGCACAGGATGGCAACCTTTGGGACGTTCAAAAGAAGTACAACTGGGGGGTGGCCAATACCACTTTAAAAAAAAACAAACAAAACCAAAAAAAAGAAAGAAGACAAGAACAACAGGACTGGGGATTGCCTGCAGTACACAGAACCACCACAAATGAGGGCTAATCATCAACCTGATCGGTCCCTTTCACATGAGCAGACTAATAAGGTCCACCTGTCCAATTTTCAGGCAGACCCAATCGGACCACCCATTGTTCTCTCTGGGGAGGCAGATGTAACGGACATGTGTCCTTTTAAAACCACCTGCTTTCGTTCCGGTCCTCCAAAAACAGATGATGGGGATCCATTTCCCCATCTGCCTAGCGAACCAAATCAAACTGGACGACAGTCGGATGTAAACGGACAGGCGGACCATTTACATCTGACTGCCCCATAGAGGAGCAGTGGGCTGTGTCTGCTCTGCACAAGCAGAGCAGACAGGGACCTGTCATCCCCCTGCTCAGTGGGAATCAGCGGACGAGTCCCCCACTGAGCAGGCGGATCCGCTTGAAGGAGTCCGCCCTGTGTGAAAGGGTCCTTAGAACTTAAAGAATGTGGGAACAGAAGACAAGATGGCACCCTTGCAAATCTAAAACCAGCTTCTTGATACTGAAATGCCCAAGACACACTTACATCTCTAATGGACTGCACCTTCACAGAAAAAGTGTAACTCAATCTTTGGGACCATAAGCTTGCATGAAGGTATAGCAAAGCCACCTATAAATGGGAGAGCAAGAAGCCAATGCAACCTGTTCGGCTCCATCCTGAGATAATAAAAAGAATCTGTCTTTCTGAAAGAAACAGTGGTTGAGAGAGACAGCTTGAACCATATCAAACCAAAAAGAGAAATTTCCTTTTGGGGAACAGGAGCTGGGCAGAGGGACAGAAGAACAATGTCCCGGTCAAGGAGAAAAACTATCTTAGGCAGGAAAAAAGGTCCTGGACCTCAATGCAAAATTAGAAAGGGTTCTTTGCAGGTCAAGGCTGCAAGTGGAGACTTGCCTTGCAGAGGTGATGGCTACAAGACACATCATTTATGGGTGGGAATAGAGAGGATTTTCTCTAACTGGGTTCAAACAAAGATTTCTGAAGCAAAAACAGAACCAGATTTGGTCTCTGAAACAGAACAGAAAGGGAAGAAATATGCCCCTTGATAGTGCTTAGAGCCAAACACTGGACCAGACTTAGCTGCAGGAAGGAGAGGATTGGTCTTAAGGAAAAGCTTCAGTGACTCACATCAAGTGCAGTATTCCTTCCACGCTCAATGACACATGTGTGAGTAACTCTAGCGTTTTCCTGGGAATCAGTGACTCGATATGCTTCCTGCTCTGGACCTAGTACATGCCCACCACTCATATAGTTGTTGTCTGACCACCGGATCGTTATGGCCCTAAATGGAAGTAGCACTCTAGTGTTGATGATTCAACAATGCAGAGACAGAGAAAGATAAATCTCTGAAACTCAAGTTTGCTGATTGGGAGATGGGACTATATGGATGACCAATTCCTGTGCACCAACAGCCTGGCAGGATGGCATCAGTCATAAGGATCCTCTAAAATACGGAAGGAAAGACACTCCAAGCCACAGACTACCTGTTCCCCTAGATCTGTCTAAAGAACGCATTAATTATCCCATGACAGAATGTTATATTGCAGAGGTCTAGAGTGACGCTGCATGGATAGAACTAAAGAGGGCTGAAACAAATGTGGCGAGAGATGTGGCTATTAGCAGGATTTTTAGTACATCGTTCAAGCATGTAGCTTGTCAATCAGGACCTGACCACACACAGTACTGCCCACTGCTTTATGGATTGCTTCTTTTTCTGAGACCCTCCCACTATGAGCTGCAGTCTTCAGCAGTGTTTGAGACACAAATAAAGAAGGATAAGGCTCTGTCAGGGAAGGTTTAAAAAAAAAAAAGGTTGTGTTTACTTTATAAGTTATCTCATAGTAACTGAACATGATGCTTCTTTACACGGTTATTCAGGCGCTTTTAGTTCTACTTTTTTGTATTTTAATAGAACATTTTACCTGCTTGCCACATGCCCAGAGTACATTTACTGCAGGCGAGTGGCACAGCCAGGCTGGATCACATACATGGCCAATGACTTATGTCTGAAACCTGCTGATTGGCTATAGCCAATCACCGCACAGATTCATGTGTTTATTAGCACACAGATCAGCGGTCTGGCTGTTTTTTCTCCCTGCAAAACAGGGAGAAAAAAAAAAACAGCCAGATCTCTTAGTAAAAGCAGCACTAATTAGACACATTACACTAGCTAGGCACACAGTTAACCCATTGAAGTTAACCCCTTTCAAGCCAGTGTAATTTGTACAGTAATATAACTGATCACTAGTGAGGTCCGTGTCAGTCAGCTATTGTACCTCCCAATGAGGGTCTGTTAGTGCCAGACTGCCCGCCACACTAAGTCACTGATCACCGCCATTATCAGTACAGTGTCTAGAGCTGCGGAAATTCCAGTATATATACCATCATTTGTAGAATGAAAAATTGCCCTGGTCATGAAGGGAGTAAAACCTTCCAAAAGTCAAGCGGTTAATTTTTTTTATTTTTATTTTTTTAAATTAGACCAAAAAACTCTTCTGCATCTTTCAGTGTCTGACTGACAGAAAGGGGAAAAAAAAAAAAAACAAAAAAAAAAACAAAAAGACATGTCTGCAGGCAGTATTTTTCAAAAAATACCATATTAAAATTGCACTGCTATCAAGAGCTACACCTCAGGGGGTGACATGACTAACAAACCCTATTCCATTATTTATGATTTTACTGGTTGTGCTATAAAAAATACAGCAGTGCAGGATAAAATTCAGGAAACTGAAGAAATGGTGCATTTGAGAAGGCTCATTAGCTGATGAAAAGTTACAGAACACTGACTGATGGCACCACATTCCCCATGATCAGCTTACTCACCTCCATAAAGAACAGGTCTCCACTGGTGTCAGTCCCAGCATGCACCACAAAAGTCTGTTTCTTAATGTGACGACTACCACTGGGTCGCACACTCAGGTCACGGCCATTCTGTGTTTTAGAATATAGATAAATAATTTGTGATTGTTATAATGTTATAATGCAGGTGGCACACAATAGCAAAATAAAAAAATAAAAAAATCAGCAAGAATCTATATTCCTTTAAATGGTACATATAGTCGTTTTCATTCAGATTTTCTTTACTTCTAGCTTTCTGCATCTCAGTAACAGATGCGTAAAAAAAAAAGAAAAAGAAATGCTCACAATAGAAGAACAAGATTACACAGACTACTGAAGGTTTTTAAACTGACCTTACACAGTTTTTTGATTCAGCCTGTGGGATGAACGAAAAAAAATCTAACAGATTGTTCCATGCACAGTATACAGCGCAGATGGACAAATTCCCCCGATAAACTATTACATTTTGACAGCCACTCGCAGCTTCTGTCAAAGTACTCAAACAATGGCTGCATCTGTTTGGATACAGCCATTACTCAGCACTCCATCAATTTGTCACTCTACGTAATCTGGGTCGCAGCGGGTTGAAAAGGACCACCAAGGAGGATTTAAGACCGTTCATTAGATTGATCACAGTGTGCAAGGCCAGCTTTAGAGTAGAGTACTGGAATGCATACTCCTTCTCTCCTATTACATACAAGAACATTTTACCTAGTGTGGCAGTGCGGTGTCCTGCCACGGTCAAAATAAAGCTGAAAACCCTGGATTCTCAACCAGGCAGGTTGAGGGGCTCCAGAGAGTTGATTTATTGCAGAGGAAACTGGCTTTTCAGTTTCCTCATTTGTTCATTAAGTTTGTTTTGGGATCTGGAGCCTGGAGATTTCAAAGAGATCTGGGAGGGATGAAATCTCCAATCCGGGGTCTGGGTTTTGAGAACCCCCAGCACACTGATTACACAGGTGTGTGCAGGCCTTTTTATAGAGGCCTAACCATGGTTCTGGGCTCCACCCCGGCAAACGGAGTCAGGAGGGCTCCACAACGGCAGGCAGGAGGTCTCTGCCTTGGAGTCAGGTGGAAGCCAGACTAGCTGTGTGCTAGTGCCATATTTTGGGAAGACTCTGCAGGAGACAGAGTTAAAACTGTGTACAAGCCAGGAGGCTGAATACTGTTAATTTGATTGATGGTGGATACCCCTGCATGGGAAGCATTTTATTTGAACTTTCTTGTAAATAAAATTGGGCAAAAAGGCCCTTAAAAAGAAGCGAGTTGCTTTGTGCTTTGAAAAAGCTCTACCAGTTGAAGCGAGTTCCCACACTAGTTAAAAGAAGGCTATCAATAAGCATGCTGGAGCTATAGCGATTAACCAAAAGTCTATTTAAAGGATTCCAGGGATTTTACACACTGTTACATAGCTCTACCTTTGACCAATGTAACTATGCATATACCATACGTGGCTACTCCACTAATCTCCACTTGCTTTGGGGTCCTGTGTCGAGTGGCTGCCCTGCTGCATTCTGAACACAGCCTCTTTCTCCATTTCCTATCCCACAGCCTAAACAGGAATCCCAGTGTGTCACCAGAACTAGTGTCCCAATTGGAAGATTTCCCCTCTACTAGTGTTGTGATGTCAACCAAAATTTGGGATTTTCTTTTACTTTCTCTTTCAGCAATAACGGTAAACAGAGAGGGTGAAACTCCCTAACGGGGGCAAAGACAGCAATAAAGATTGACATATGTTCTAATCCCTCTCCACTCTATCCAAAACTAAAAAAAAATGAATAAAAAGTTAGTGTTTGCCTTTAATTACAGTTTAAGAAACTGAACAAAGTGTATTTGGTGATTATAGTAACTAATCAACATCTTCAACAGAAGACAGAATGTGAAGGCTTATAATAGACCCAATATTTAAAAAAATAAAGTTCACAGAGATCCAGGCTTGCAGTACTTCCTTAGCCTTCTAGTATAAACCTGACATTTTCAACCCCCCAGTCTTACCAGATCTGTCACTCGGTCAAGCAGTTCATTAATCTGTTGACTGTGCGTTAAACCTATGTGACATTTCCCCAGCAGACGTCGAACCTTCCTGCGGAGATCGGTCTTGTTTACCTTAACAAAAAGAGTGAGTTTAATTACAGGTAATCCTAAAGCACCAGCAATTTACACAGTGATTTACATATATTTATTTTGTACATTCACATCCGTCTCTGTCCTCAAGGAACGTGCAATCTAAGGTCCCTAACTCACATTCATACATATAATAGAGCCAGTTCATACAGGAGTCAATTAACCTAACAGTACATCTTTGGAGTGTGGGAGGAAACTGGAGTACACAGAGGAAACCCACATGCATGGTTCAATAAATAGCTAAAATCCGGTTTGACACTTTTTTCCTTCTCTAACTCTAGTAGAGTAGATGCTGCAATTTCCTTAGCAATATTTATGTAAATAAATTAATCACCATTTTCTGTGAAGATATTAAAAAAAAGACCAATACTACAATGACATATGACTTCTCTAAAAGAGGAATAAATCATACTAATGGAGCTATTTATAATGGAGCGGAAATATCAAGACCCTTTATTTGCTAGGCTTCAGGTTGTACACTACATTGTGCATTTATAAAATGGTCACCACTGTATGGAACCTGTGATCAGCTGTGATCAGGGACCCAGATCAGCATTCACTCTCCTTAAAGGTCACCCTATACAATTTCTACTGCTCTTTACAGGATTGGAGCCCAATACGGCCGGGTCTTTTTTTCCTGCTTTTGCTTTGTCAAAGGTGAAGATATTAAAAGACCAATACTACAATGATATATGACTTCTCTAAAAGAAGAATAAATGATTCTAATGGACTTATTTACAATGGAGAGGAAATATGAAGACCCTTTAAATTGCACTCAAAACAGTAGTGTATAATAAAACAATGCATCCTATTCACCTTCATCATCACCATGTAGGCCACCATGTTGTGTAAGAGCGTAGCCAGAAGTCGATCTTCATCATCCTCAAGACGTTTCCGGTCATGATCTCCCAAAGACATATACCTTAACACACAAGAAAGCAGCTAGCTTAAAAAAAAAAAAAAAAAAGCATCCTGACCAATTGCTGCAGACAATGTCAGGGATCCTAGACTCACCTGTCTATCATCTCTTGAGGTCCCTGATCCATCCCCATTCCCTCTCTTTCGAGCATCACAGCATCCAAGAAAGCATCCTCCCAAAACTGCATCTGGTCCCAAAGGGTGGAGCGCTCTTTACCTGCAAAAATAGGTCAGTCTTAGCCAGTAATTGTTTCCCAACATAATATATCTGTTGCACTTGCTCTGGGTTTGGTAGTTTGTCATCTATTAAGGCCATGAAACGTATCATATGCAAAAACGAATGCCAAGTGAATAAGTTACTATTACTTCAAGTCTGCCAAGAATGGACTTGTAAAAAAACTAAATACTACATCCTGAATTACTATAATTGACTCTCTTTAGCTTGAAAGCTGGGGGTCAAATGTCAAAGTTTCTGTCCTGCCATCTACCTGACCTCACACAATATCCAGCTTTTCAATGTGCACAGTATTGCCCTAGAGTCCTCATACATTCCTCTTAACTATAGGGCTTTGTTTTTTTCACATTGCTGTACAATTTTAGGAGCTAAGGTGATGTGAAGTAGTTAACAGGGCAACTTCAGGTAACCTTTGAACCCCGACTCTCAAGCTGACATCTGATTCGAAGTAAAGCTAAATAAGGAGATATAGCTATTTCAAAAGTAAGGCTAAATATGTACGGTAATGTAAGACCAAGCAGTCACAAACCCAAATGACACTGGTTCTGTTCAAACTCAACCCAACTCAAGCTAGTCCACTAAAGCAGAACTTAACTATATCTGAGCACCACAAACTGAAGAGCTGTTTGATTCATTGTTAATCTTAAAAGCAAACTCACCCAACCCATCATCCATGTCTGCACACTTTATTGTTTTTGATAAATCACTTTAGAAAACAACCCCCTAGCATTTCTAGCTGCAGCAGTCTTGTGTATGGGCAGTTGATTCATGTAGCATTTACCTCCTAGAGAATCTATCTGCCCTTAGTTCAGACATGCAGGCAGAAGGGTGTACCTAGCTGAGAAAGCCTATCTTCCAGATGAAAGAAAAAAATGCTATGTAGAATCCTGGGCCTAGGCCAGAAATGAACTGAACATATAGTTTATTTTGAATGAGAGAGTTTAGTCCTGCTTTAGCCTAAACTTTTTCTTAAGGTCAACCCCATCTTTACCTCACTCCAACACCTTGCCCTAACCCAGTGTTTCTCAACTCCAGTCCTCATGGACCCCCAACAGGTCATGTTTTCAGGATTTCCCTCAGATGAAACAGCTGTGGTAATTACTAAGGCAGTGAAACTGATCAAATCACCTGTACAAAATAATGGAAATCCTGAAAACATGACCTGTTGGGGGTCCATGAGGACTGGAGTTGAGAAACACTGCCCTAACCAGAGCTCACTCCAAAATCAATGCCTTCTATCTAACCTAACCATGAGTCTACTACAGCCTCTCTCAACCCAGGTGCCTTGAGGCTTCTTCAGAGGTGCTTTGGCCAAATATCTAAAAGTTGCACAAAACTTGTATACAAGCCAGCGGGTAAAAGAAGCCTGACTTTTAGTTACACAAAGCCACAGGTTTTCATTGTGCGCCATTACAACCTTCTAGCCACCAGCGTCCTGACAACCAATGACATCATCAGTTGAGAAGATGTCAGTTGCCTGTACAGCATCCTTGCTTGACCCTCCCCTGCCCCTCTCCATCAATGCTGGGGTCACATTAGCTCAGTGATGGAGAAAAACTGAGAGAAATACTGTAATACTAGTCAGGACCAGTGAAAAAGTGTATTTGATTTGGAAGAATAATTCACCTCTAGCAATGGGTGTCCTACATGTGTGCGGACGTTGCTGCGTTATATACAACTATTAGAATAGTTTTTTACATTTTAGAATGGGGCGCCTCGGGACTGTCCATAATTTTAAAGGGTGCCTCGGGATTGTCCATAATTTTAGAGGGTGCCTTGACTGAAAAAACATTGAGAAACACTGATCTACTACTATAGCGAACCTAATTCCCAATTCCTATTCATAAGAATTAGAATACTTATCCCTAATCACCTCACCCTTAACTGAACCACACAAATAACAAAAACGAAAATGATCAAAATGATAATGGCATCAATATCTCTATTAAAACCTATGCAAAAATAAAATAAATACCCCAACCCGGTGATGAATACAACTGATCCGGTCTTTATCCAACATTTTTATTTTATAACACAAACCCACTTACTACGTTTCTGTAAATTCACTTCATTACGATCCACAGCATGCAACACACACACGAAATAAAAGTTCAGCAAAATAATATATCTTCTAGTTTTAAAGGGGGTTTCCCCTAAGCATCTCCCCAGAACCCAAGAGGTGTTGGGGGTTTGTGCTGGCAGCAACATTTTTTTTCTTTAAAGCAACGTCAAGACTGTCTTTAATTCACTATAACAACTATGGTTTTACCTCTACTGACATAACAGTTTGCATTATTTATGTTACATATTTTTTAAAAAGCAACGCCACTTGTTGAAAAAAAAAAAAAAAAAAAAAACCCTCTGGTTGATCAATGTACATTGCAGGGATTTTAAACTTGAGGATTCCTACCTTTTTCTATTCTAAAGAAAAAGCGGTTTGCTCCCGATACTGGAAACCGATACTTTACGGTGCAATTTGCATCAATAGAAATCGCACTGCAAAGATTAGCATGTGATTTGACCAGGAATTTGATTCCTGTCCAAATTGCAAGTGGTTTCCCCGTTCCTGTGTGAACCCAGGCTTGTCATAGCTGGAGTTCACACAGGAGCAGTGCGGGAAACCTCCCTGCAGGCTTCCCATGCTGAGTGGAGAGTGGGGATGTATACTATGGAGGCAGATGCTCCATACTTTCAGCGGTAGGAGAGGAGAGAAAGGGGCAGGGGGGATTTGAAATGCCGTAGCTTTCTCTCCTCTCCTTGCACGGATGACTGATTGGTCAGCAACCTCACATGGACGGTGCTGACCAATCAGATGCCATCTAGCCCGTACTGTCATTGCTGTATGGAGAGGAGAGAAAGCAGCAGGGAATTCAAACCCCCAGACCTGTGAAGCGGCTCTCTCTTCTCCATGTGACAGGGCTGACCAATCAATAGTCCTCTAGTCCAAACGGTCACCCCTGCAAGGAGGGAGAGAAAGTAGTGGCGATTTCAAAACCCCATCGCTTTCTCTCCTCTCCTACTGCTGAGAATATGGAGCATCTACCTTCATCGTATACAGCCCCACACGCCCACTCTCTGCTGCAGGAAACCTCCTGCACCGCTCCTGTATTAACTTAGGCTATGACAGCCTGGGTTCACACAGGAGAATTGGGGAAATCACATGTGATTTGGACAAGAATCACATTCCTGTTCAAAATTGCATGCTATACTTTGCGGTGCAATTTGAGCCCATATCACACCACAAAGTATTGGTACTCTGTATTTGCGGGGGGGGGAAGAGGAGGAGGAAGAAGAGGAGGAGGAGGAAGAAGAGGAGGAGGAGGAAGAAGAGGAGGAGGAGGAGAGAAAGAAGAGGAGGAGGAGGAAGAAGGAGGAGGAGGAGGAGGAGGAGAGGAGGAGGAGGAAGAAGAGGAGGAGGAAGAAGAGGAGGAGGAGGAGGAAGAGGAGGAGGAGGAAGAAGAGGAGGAGGAGGAGGAAGAGAGGAGGAGGAGGAGGAAAGAGAGGAGGAGGAGGAGGAGGAAGAGGAGGAGGAGGAGGAAGAGGAGGAGGAGGAGGAAGAGGGAGGAGGAGGAGGAAGAGGAGGAGGAGGAAAAGAGGAGGAGGAGGAAAAGAGGAAGAGGAAGAGGAAGAGGAGGAAAAGAGGAAGAGGAAGAGGAGGAGGAGGAGGAAGAGGAAGAGGAAGAGGAAGAGGAAGAGGAAGAGGAAGAGGAAGAGGAAGAGGAAGAGGAAGAGGAAGAGGAAGAGGAAGAGGAAGAGGAAGAGGAAGAGGAAGAGGAAGAGGAAGAGGAAGAGGAAGAGGAAGAGGAAGAGGAAGAGGAAGAGGAAGAGGAAGGAGGAAGAGGAGGGAGGAAGAGGAAGAGGAGGAGGAAGAGGAGGAAGAGGAAGAAGAAGAGGAAGAGGAGGAAGAGGAGGAAGAGGAGGAAGAGGAGGAAGAGAGGAGGAAGAGGAGGAAGAGGAGGAAGAGGAGGAAGAGGAAGATGAGGAGGAAGAGGAAGAAGAAGAGGAAGAGGAGGAAGAGGAGGAAGAGGAGGAAGGAGGAGGAAGAGGAGGAAGAGGAGGAAGAGGAGGAAGAGGAGGAAGAGGAGGAAGAGGAGGAAGAGGAGGAAGAAGAGGAAGAAGAGGAAGAAGAGGAAGAAGAATAGGAAGAGAAGGAAGAAGAATAGGAAGAGGAGGAGGAGGAGGAGGAGGAGGAGGAGGAGAAGAAGTGCATCAGTCCATCCCTATCCGTGTTTACAAACCGCGATCTGGCTCTTTTCTGGGAGCTAGAAGAAAGAACAGCCAGATCTCTTAGGTAAAGCAGCACATATTACACACATTACACTTATTGGGGTATACAGGTAAACCCTTGACTTCTCCTTGATGTTAACCCCCCTTCCCAACCAGTGTCATTAGTACAGTATATCAGATCACTGTATTAGTGGCACTAGCAACATTAGTGTCAGTCTGTATACTTCCCAGGGAGGGTCTATTAGTGACAGATTGCCTACCACACTATCACTGTCCCGCTATAAGTTGCTGACCACCACCATTACCAGTATAGCGCCATAGCTGTGTAAACTCCAGTATATCATAGTTTGTAGATGCTATAACGTTCACAGAAACCAAAATTATACACCAATTAGAATTTCTTTTAACAAAGATATGTAACTGAATACATTTGACTAAATTTATGAAGAAATTTTTTTTTCATTTATAAAAGTAAAAAAAAAAACCCAGTGAAGATCAAAAACAAAAGAAAGTTTGGTTTGTGTAAAAAAAAAAAAAAAAATTTAATCTGGAGTACAGTGTTGCATGACCAGTCAATTGCCAGTTAAAGTAGCGAAGTGCTAAAAAGGAAATAAATGCCCTGGTCATGAAGTGGGTAAAACCCTCACGAGGTCAAGTGGTTAAAAACTTATCCCACCACAACTACACGACACACACCGGAGGGTGTGGTTTTATACAGACCATAATGCAAGCCTGCTGGTGTCAATGGGCCCTAACTGCAGTGTGCTTTCCAAAGTTAAGATTCCACTATTCATGTTTGCCGATAAGAGAATTTGATTGGCAGCTCAGCGCACTGAAATCTCTATAAATTTCTGATGTACTCTTGCAATACACTTTCTACTGCGAAGTCTTGATTCATTTCTGAAGTGACACTTCCTCCAGGGCTCTCTGAATGTCAGGCTGTGGAGGTACTCAAATTATTCAGAGAGACATTTCCTCGCTGACTGCTTCTGCTAGTTAAACTGAAGTTATCAAGGTAATCAAACTCAATTGAGCATGATGGCAAAAAGGCAAACACAACTCACAATTTCTGGCATTTTAAGTTCTGCGGCACTATTAAAAGGGCAATGACAAATGTAGCAAAGCACTGTAAAAACCAACACTTAACACTTTATGCTTTCCAAATCTGAATGCATGCGGCGACAGCAGAAACAGATACTGCACTTCCAATCTTAGAAACCTTTTAGGGTTATATACACTTTAAACTCCAGTTTAGACTTGAGTATTGATCCTTTTCAGCACTTTTACACACCAGTGGGCAGGTGTTGAGGCACACATAATATGCATTGTAATGCATTAACACCCATTGCAGGGCATTTTTTCCCCTTTTTCATTCAACTTTAAACTATAGATCATATTTAACTATGTGCAGCAGCATTATAACTCGTCAGAATGTGACGTATTGTGCAAAACTGAAACATTTCCTATGCTTTTCTAGCACATACCAACTCAGTGCTTGGTGTGAACTGAAGCTATTGGATATCAGGTATTTTGCCTTGTCTATGCATTGGGTAACGCTACCCAGTGGGAATGGAGTAAACAAGCCCTTTGAAAGTGACTGGCAAAGAACTCCAAAACAACTGGTGATCCCTGCCAGTCTACTCTGTGCTGTCAAGCAATCAATGCTAAAAGCGGATTCAGACCTGAGGACGTGTTGACAGGCATGCACAGTGTTACTTTCAAAGGGAAAAGCAGGATGATGTACTAAAGCATGGAGTCAGAAGAAGAAATACAGCGCCTCGAAGTGTAGGCTGTAATGCAAGTTTAATGGCATCTACACTTAGAGGCGCTGTGTTTCTGCCTGTTTCTCCTCCATTAGAGTCTGCTTCACTCTACCACAGCCTGCCCTGGTATCCAGACTGTTTCATTCCCTTCTCCACCATTGAATTCCTATTACTGGATTTATTTAGACTCTTTGGACTTTTGGTCTGCAGATTCCATGCGTCTATTATCTCCTTGCATAAGACTAAAGCATGGAGAACCTGCAGTCCCATAGTCAGTTTGACCACATAGGCTGACATGCTCATAATCCATCCCTCCCTGGCATGAATGACAGCATCTCCCGTCAGGAGACGGGCTCAAAATTGTTCTACTAGGCATAGTGGCAAGCAGCCTCCACCTCCACCCCTTGGAGGCCAGGGAAATCATCCTGACATATTTTAAAAGTTTAAAAAAAAAAAAAAAAAAAAAGAAGATAATTGGAACTTTTCTAAATTTAATTTTATTAATGTGCTTTTCTGAAATAATTGTTCATGGTTCCATTAATCTACAAGGGTTCACATACACTTTAGCCCCTTCTTGATGTCCATGCACATAGATGTGGAAGCACAAAGGTGGGTCTTATTCCACGCTGCCACAAAAGTGTTGGGAGTGTGCTAAAATTGCGTGTCCCCAGCAAGGTGAACAGTGATGTCAGACAGTTCCTGTTCATGAAGGAACATCGGTAAGACGGTCTCCTGATCGCCGTCAGCCAATCACAGTGACCACATGGTCAGGAAGCCCATGAAATGTGTCAGGTGTCAAGGTTAAACAATGCTTTCAACATGAAGCTGTTAAATGGTCTTCTTAACAGCTTGGATGAAAAATAACCAAATTGGCTTAATTTTTTTTTTTTTTCTTTAAATTTTGCTTGCACTTTACAAATCAAGTCAGAAAATCATGGGAATTGGGGATTATCTACACTTCATGGCCAAAAGGCCTCATGCACACATGACGTTATATAAACTCTGCTAGAAGTCTTTCCTCCTCGCAACAGCGTTTTGTCAGAAAAAAAAGCCTGACGCTTGTAAAACTTTCTAAAGCTTTTACAAACCGTTAGGCACGTTTACAGGCATCAAGAGCTTGGATGTTAATTCATTTCACTGACCAGAGTAATAATTCATTTCATTGACCAGAAATAATTTATTCTGCCTATTAAAATGAATAAACCCTCAAGTGCTAAACACTTCTAGCATTTAGCAGAGTCTAGCTTTTTTCTGCCAAAACTCTGCTGCTCCTGGACACACTGGCAGTGTTTTTTTTTTACTGCCTTTAAAAGCTCCTGCCAAAAACGCTGCTAAAAGCCTATGTGTACATGGACACATAGGCTAACATGCAGGGAAGTTTTGAGGCATGGAAAAAAAAAAAATGCCTGACGCCCCTAGAAGCAGCTGCAAATGGCAACTTGCTAGTGATTGGATAGTATAGCCATCAATAATTTTTCTTAGTACCTTATGATCGCCACCTGGGTGGTTTTCAGGCTGATTTGTGTCTTTATTTCTATGTACCCACTGTATACAGCCTGTGAGGCAATACCATCCCTCTGTTTATGGTTGGATACTTCAAACTGGGTCACTTGCAGGTTGAAGGCCTTTATATTGCCCTTTATTTTCTATATTGTCTAACATTATGAACATTATTGGAAAAGAAGCAACTGCAAAAACATCCAATGTGCACGAGGCTTAATAATTATTCTACCTGTGAAAGAAAAATTATAGAAGGAAGTTTGTCCCTCAAGGAACTCAGTGGTGGATATATGAACAGCTTTAAAGGGTTTGGATCAGGGGTGGACTGACAACTCATGGGGCCCCCGGGCAATAGGGGATCATGGGGCCCCTGTGTCCTCGACCACTCAAACCACACCCAAAAAAGCCTCTGAAAGGTACCAGGGGCATCTCATGGGACCCCCTACTGACCCTGAGCCCTCGGGCAGTACCCGAGTGCTCTAATGGTCCGTCCGCCCCTGGTTGGGATTTAGTGAGAAGGGCAGGGCTTCAAGACCAAAAAAAAATTACATCCACCACTGCAATCAAGACTGTGGCAGCACTGTGGTGTAGCCAGCCACACAGATTGTCCTGAAAAAAAAAAAAAAAAAAAACGACAGGCTGGTTGTACACAAAAGTCAATAGATAGATCGACTTGTGTACAACCAACTAGCCCAAACACTGATCGAAATTCAGCCGGTCCCTGCTGAGCCGGCTGAATTTTGACCCATGAAGAGCTAGCTTAAGATCCATAATCATGTATCCTTGAGCGAAATGTCATAAAAGTTTAAAGATCAACTCCAGCAAAAAATATTTTGCTCTGGTAACTGTATGTGGTCATTATTGGTTATGATATATGTATTAGTTTCCATTTATCTATGTGTCTTTATTCTTGTCCACATTTACTTACAGATCAAGCTGCCCAGCAAAAAGTGAAAATTTCAGGGCTTGAGATTAAATATACCACGCTGGTGGGGGTACTTGCTATGGTCACTTATTCATATTAAATTCTGTTGTTAATTAGGAGCTGGGCCTAAATTTCTTTCCTACTGATACCTCAACTCCGGTGATGATCTATTTTGATATATTATATTAGGCCAGCTTGGCGCAATATAAATATACATACCTGATACACAAGCAGCCTCTGTGAAAGCTCTAAATCAATGTAATATACCAAGCTACCATGGCCATGGTCTTCTGGGTGCTGTGCCAAGTGGATGCCCTTCTGCAATTTTTCAAATTCCAATTATGACTAATGGGCTGCAATTAAACTCCAGGTAGAGATCTCAACCAACACATTACCATGCACACATACTGCAAGTTAGAAAGAGAAGCATATGAAGACTGTCTGTGCTCTCATTACAGGGCATCTAGGGGCCAGTTGACATAGTAGCAGACTTGTTTCACAACCACGAAGCAGGCAAGCATGGTAACACAATTAGCAGAAGCACAAATATATTACTCAGAGAGAAGGTTTCCATCGCTGCGTCTTCAAGCTGGTCCCAGACTGAGGCCTTATCTCTTCCTGTGCAAAGCCAGGCCACAGCACAATGCCGCATAAGAAGAGAAAAATAGGAAAGACAGAAGGGCAAAGCAAGGTTAAAGAGCACCTCTCACATATATACACACTTAACAGGCTGAAGAAACACAATCTATATGTATGTTAATAGAAATAATGGCAGAGCTGTAAAAGGAGGCACCCAAAGTTCATAGTGAATTCACATATCGCATCCAAAAGATTATTATCACAGCATTCAAGGTTGCTCCACTGCTCAGTTCAGGGCCACAAATATAGCAACCGATTAGTAAGCAGAAAGATACAACAGTAGTTACAGATCAGGCTTTTGATTAGACAACACAAATATTAGATATGAAATAACGTACAAGTGGTTAATTACATATTCTTTCAGCAGAAAGAATTAAAAGGTGCAACATTTAGAAGGTAATTCAGGCAAGGGACGTACTGGTTAGCCCTTCATATTGAGGCATCCACAAGCTTTGTGTTCCCACATCATGTCAGCCAAGCTGTAGGCTATGGATGCTCACAAGCTTACCACAGTAAAATGAAACCATAACCACCAAATACCTATGGAATACATTTAAAGATCACCATTAAGGAGAACAATAGTCCACAGTTAAACAAGAGGATTGCATGGGCAGTTGACTGAACAAGTAACCTGGTAAATGACATTGGCGTGACAGCAGAATAATGCAGCTGTTACCTCTCAAGCCTACTGGCAGCTCTGCTTCATGTGGGGGACATTATGGGAGCAATGGGTTGTTAAAGTGACACTAAACTCTGGTTAAAATAAATAAAAATTATATTCAAGTATGTTAGTCAACTCAAAAACATACCTTCTTTTTCTCTCCAAATTCCTTTTTCTGCAGCTGTAATCCTACTACATGTTACAGGGTGGCTACGCTCATTCTCCAGAAATATAGCCACTCTCTCATGCTCCCTCCTGAAATGAACTAGGGACTATGGGATTTGTAGTGTATAGAAAACAAAAAAAATAAATTCCACAGCGGTACCACAATGCTCTCTTAATGTGACACGGAGACTTCTATGCTTCTGAGAGTTCACTTTACCCTGGCCAGGCTGTGCAAAATGAGCCTATTGGCCAACACTACTTGCAGTAGATGCTTCACAGACCATGGTGACTTGATCCATTTGATGTGGTGCTGTCCCAAGCTGCATATATTGTGGACAAGGGTAATGAACATACTCAATGCTTATTCAGATTTCTAGTCCACTTGATCCTAAACCATGCCTTTTGGGCATCTTAAATGACTTCCAATTGCCAGTTTGTACTAGAGAAGTAGTGGCTAGAGCCCTTTTTCAAGCCCGGAGAGTTCTATTGTGGCATTGGCAATCCTCTGATGGCCCTTCCCCTAAGGAATAAGTACAATATATAGGTGAAAATCTCAGGCTGAAGAAGAACATCTACCAGCAAAGGGGATGCTCCCGTAAACATGAAAATCTTTGGGGCCTATGGTTCAAAACACCAAGCATGAGCCCGCTTAACCTCCTCATAGGCAAGCTACTAGTGGAATAATGTGTACCCCATTGGTTGCTGGTCTTAGGACAGTATTCAGATACGTTGGGACGGGGCTATAGCTGCAAACTGTCCTTTGCCAGTTGTGTAGGTTGTAAAATATATGCTTGTTTCTTATTTTTTGTGGTCGTATTTGGTTATGCCCAGTCTATGTCACTGTCTGAATCTTCCATTGTACTCTACACAGATGGAAACTGTTACGATTGGGAATATGATCTGGAATTTCTGTATGTATACTCGGTCTTTTCAATAAAACTTTAATCTGTTTTTTAATTTTTTTTTTAAATCTATTAGAGTCATTAGGTTGTGGATGTGTATGGATTATTTATGGAGCACAAGAATATAATTTAGTGTCACTTTAGAACCATATAGAACTTTAAATAGAGCTCCTAATATTGCTTCCCCCCCCCCCTTCAGACTGCAGGTGGTAGGTTACCATCACCAGTTTGGTTGTTTTGGCAATCAGATTGATCACATTTGCCTGAAAACTGCCATAGCTGCCATGTGTATGGCAACAGGGATATTATGGATTGGTTCAACCACTCTCAATAAGTGTGTTCCTTACCCAAAAGGCCCTCATACAGATAGATACGCTGGCTGACATCTTGTGGTGGTTGTACTGGGCTGACACCACTATTTCTCTCTCCAGGACGCAGGACCTGAGGCTTTCCCTAGGTGACCAAAAGAAGAAAAAAAAGGATTATAAATTTAGAAGTGATGTTTCCTGCATGGTTAGTCAATGGAAACAATACAACATGAAGATGTAGTTAAGACAACGGCACATATTAATCGACAAAACCAGATCACCCTTTTATCAGTTTAGAGAAGAAGAATTAAAGATGATTGCGGATTGACTGCTATGGGATATTGCACCCTTTATTACACTGTTCAACAAATTTTTATTTTTTGCCAGTTTTGGAAACAAAAGGATCCATTTTTTAATGAATTTCACATTCCGAGTTCAAATATAACAATGAAATTTGTCAATTGGCTCTAGTTTTTCTGTAAACGGAAAGTTTTCTACTATAGGCGTAATGACTACATAATGCACAATAATTATATAGATAGATATCTTTCCACAAATATAAAGCAAGTGATATTGACTACATAACAAAGCCTAAATGGCATAATATATTGCATAGGATTACCAAGAAAAATTATAACCATAAGCTAAGTTGAATCATTTTAATACTTAGGATTCTCACTAGTTTTGTCTTCAGTTTGTGTCGGCTTTGCTTCTCTTGGCTTTTCTCTTGTATTCAAGGAAAGGGCTATCTCTTACAACTGCACGTGACTACACGCTTCAGGTTCTTCCTCACTTGACTCAACCACGAAGGATTCTGGTGCTTTAGGAATTGGTAGCCCCTCTCCATGAGGAACTGGACGTATTGCCGATGGAATATTTGGATAGTGCACAGATAACTTTTTCTTCTTATTTAGCCCTTTTACAATTGGAGGCACCATACAAAAGTAACAATTACTAACATGATCTGTTGGCTCTCTCCAAATCATTGGCACAGCGAAAGGCATAGATGCCTTTTTTTCCATTCAACCATTGCTCCAGTGCCGTCCCACAAGAATTGCAGCATATATGTGGTGCCCAGCTCTTGTCCTGGTCTACTATTTTGCAGCCAAAATACAAGCTGTAGGCTTTCTTAATCATTCCTGTTATCCTCCTTTTTTGTGAGATAAAAGTTATTTCACCGCAGATATAGCAGAAATTATCTGCTTTATTCACACAAGTTCGAGGCATTACTGAGTAGCCTATATAAGCATAAAACGAAATGTAAAGACGCTGTCGAACTACAATCAGCTACAGATACTGCAGCTTTTATGCAGTGAAGTGATGCAATTAAAGGCCAATATTGCATCATCTCAGTATACATGCAATTTTCTATTGGTCACCAGTATCAATTGCGCAATATGCAGCTGAAGTTGCATCATAATTTTGAATGGCTTACGTCATTAGATGGGTGAATATATCATGGAAACTAGAGCCAATCAACATTTTTTAGGGTCATTTTCGTTTTCAGCACCCCAAAATTATGTAAGATTAGCTAATTTTATGCCCAAAACTTTTTACCTGTTGAACAGTGTTATTAAATGTTATTGTCCTTACAAATATGGCTCCAGTGAGAGAATTCATCTGGATCTCACTGTCGGACACGGCTCCTCTGGATCCTGACAGGTGACCTCCGCCTGGGCCGCCCAACGTGTCTCCGGCATTGCTGCTCAGATCACTGTCGGCACCTAGTGTTTCCCCTGAGCTGTTACTGACCTGCAATAATAAAAGCGTGACCGAGCTGTCATATGTAGAAAACACAGCTGTCTCCGTCCTTTGAGAATCAGCCCATCGCTAAGTGTCCCGTCCACCCCCATCTAAGTGACATGGTACAAGGAAGCATGCTCAAATCCTACCACTGTGCTGATTTCAGAATCCTGACTGCTGCTTCGAATGAGAATGGAAGGTCCTGTACTGACACCATCCAAATCACTCCGCTGCTTCCAGAGGCAAAACAAGAGATAAAAAGACAACCCATCCAGTGAGACAATGAGCTTTCCTTGCCCCAAATCAAATGTACACAAACACACACTACTACTGGAAAAACAGCAAAGTACACACCAAGTTTATTTTCGTTCAACGAAAACAAACTGAGGAGCTTGCAAGGAGGTCTCTGTACTAACAAGGTTATGTTAGTACAGCAATCTCTCCGCTGAGCTATTGTGTTCTGATGCAACTATTGGCTGCGAACAATGATTGGATGCTGATCGCCAGGTTTTTTTTTTCCTGGCATACCCGTTCTACAGAAGTCGGATGTTTGACCGGCTTCTGTTGGACTGGCTGCTCTACACACAGGCCGAATGTTGAAAAGTTTCTGTTGAAACAGACGATATTGACCTGTGTGTACCAGGCATAAGGCTGCCCTTAGCAGAAATATTTTTCATTTCAATGAATTCAAGTTCTTGGTTCCTTAAATCGTTATTAAAGCGACCCTGATCATTAAATGATGGCAAAAGCAGTACCCTGTAAAGAAAACTGCTTTATACTTTGTCATTTAGCCATTTTGCTGATACTTTGCTCTTGGGTAGAACTCCTGTTGCCAATCAATTCCATGGCATTTCAAACAGTAGCTAACCCTGCTGGCCATCGTCATTTCTTTAAGACAGGGTCACTTTAACAAGAGTCGTGAATGATTTACACATTTGTGGACATAGCAATTGCTGTGAAATTTGAAAATAGGCATCTCACGTGGAAATGCGAACAATGGACTACTTCCAAAAAAAAAAAACCCTTTACATTTTCACACACAGTGATGCACTTTATCATTGCTTCAATTTTTAATCTGTGTCAGATTTAATAAAAGAAAACCACACTCCATGCCCAACCTTTTCAGAATAAATCCCAAACCTGTTGCATAACAAACATCCAAAGGAATTTCTGTCTTAATTAAAAGGTAAGATGGGCATTAAAAATTAGGAGTTGGTAGTTACTAAACAAAACCAAAGTACAGTGCCTTGAAAAAGTATTCATACCCCTTGAAATTTTCCACATTTTGTCATGTTACAAAGTGGAACATAATTGTGAAGTGGAAGGAAAAGGATAAAAGGTTTTCAACATTTTTTTACAAATAAATATCTGAAAAGTGTGGCAGCATTTGTATTCAGCCCCCCTGAGTTAATACTTTGTAGAATCACCTTTCGCTGCAATTACAGCTGCAAGTCATTTGGGGATGTCTCTACCAGCTTTGCACATCTAGAGAGGGACATTTCTGCCCATTCTTCCTTGCAAAATAGCTCAAGGTCTGTCAGATCGGATGGAGAGCGTCTGTGAACAGCAATTTCAAGTCTTGCCACAGATTCTCAATTAGATTTAGATCTGGACTTTGACTGGGCCATTCAAACACATAAATATGCTTTCATCTAAACCATTCTATTGTAGCTCCAGCTGTATGTTTCGGGTCGTTGTCCTGCTGGAAGGGGAACCTCCACCCCAGTCTCAAGTCTTTTGAAGACTCGTAACAGGTTTATCTGCTAAGATTGCCCTGTGTTTGGCTCCATCCATCTTCCCATCAGCTCTGAGCAGCTAACCTGTCCATATTGAAGAACAGCATCCAAACCTGATGCTGCCACCACCATGTTTCACAGTGGGGATGGTGTGTTCAGGGTGATGTGCAGTGTTAGTTTTCCACCACACATAGCGTTTTGCTTTTAGGCCAAAAAGTTCAATATTAGTCTCAGCTGACCAGAGCACTTTCTTCCACATTTGTGGTGTCCCCCACATGGCTTCTCGCAAACTACAAACAGCTTTTCTTTTAACAATGGCTTTCTTCTTGCCACTCTTCCATAAAAGCCAGATTTGTGGAGTGCACAACTAACAGTTGTCCCATGGACAGATTCTCCCATCTGAGCTGTGGGTCTCTGCAACTCCTCCAGAGTTACCATGGGCCTCTTTGGCTGCTTCTCTGATTAATGCTCTCCTTGCCCGGCCTGTCAGTTTAGGTGGATGGCCATGTCTTGGTAAGTTTGCAGTTGTGCCATACTCTTTCCATTTTTGGATGATGGATTGAACAGTGCTTCGTGAGATGTTCAAAGCTTGGGATATTTTTTTTATGACTTAACCCTGCTTTAAACTTCTCCACAACTTTATCCCTAACCTATCTGGTGTGTTCCATGGCCTTCATGATGCTGTTTGTTCACTAATGTTCTAACAAACCTCTGAGGGCTTCACAGAACAGCTGTACTTATACGGAGATAAAATGACACACAGGTGAACTCTATTTACTAATTAGGTGACTTCTGAAGGCAATTGGTTCCACTAGATTTTAGTTAGGGGTTACAGAGTAAAGGGGGCTGAATACAAATGCATGCCACACTTTTTAGATATTTGTAAAAAATTTTGAAAACCATTTATCATTTTCCTTCCAATTCACAATTATGTGCCACTTTGTATTGGTCTATCACAAAATTCCCAATAAAATACATTTACATTTTTGGTTGTAACATGACAAAATGTGGAAAATTTAAAGGGCTATGAATACTTTTTCAAGGCACTGTATATGCAAACCCTAAAATGGAAACATTTTGTTTTCAATTTACAGTGTATCAAACTGTTTACTTTTTCAATAAACCTTTTTTTTTTGCCTTTTTTGATCTTTTGCTACATTCCAGCAATGATTCTCTCCTATGGCTTCTTTGCAGGCATGTCCAGTCTACATGCACAGTTCAGGAAGCCTTTCCTGATGGAGACAACAGTTATCCAGGCCTGTGTGATGTGTTTCACTATGGCTGCTTACAGAGTCCATTGGGAGAGTGTATGACAAGGTGGCAATTGCTATAGAACAGGGACTGTTTTCCTATACTGGAAGAGCCTGAACAAGGACCTTTATAATAGTATTACCATGTATTTTTTTTTTTTTTTATCTGCAGATTTAATGATATGGAACCGTTATTTGAATTTTATATAAGCTTTTAGCAATTGGATGCAATTTAATTTCCCAGTAAAGTCCACCATCAGAAACCTTCATGGACATGCATCTGCCAGATGACTTACTAATGCACTTGTAGGAAGACTAGGGATCATCACAATGATTTCTGAATTTGGTAGACTTGGTGGATCTAATTTTTTTTTTTTAATGAAGTGCAAACTCCAGCTAGCGTAAATTTGTGATCACTGGTCTGCAACAATCCATGCAACTCACAAATCCAGGCAAGCGGAATACATGGGATCTGGCAGATTACGGAATTGATTTGCTCAACTGGTAATGCAGTAGTTCAAGGCTACTATATGATATGAGCCAATGCTTTATATATATATATATATATATATATATATATATATATATATATATATATATATATATATATATATATAAAAAAAAAAAAAAACATGTCAGTGCAACAAAGGATAAATATTTTATGGATCAGAAGCAAGCACATCCAATGCATATGTATAAAGTGAATAGATCAATTTGTGCCGAGCTATCAGTGCAAAACAAGAAATTACATGAAAAATACTATTTCAATATGTGACATAAAAGATATAAATAACAAACCGAATCCACTCTATAGGAACAAATAAATGTACATATAAATGCAACACAAAAAACATTAAACTGTTTTATATATATATATATATATATATATATATATATATATATATCTGCATCCAAATTTATATTAAGTCCAAAAAGTCCCACTGTGTGTCAAATTTCAAAAACATCCCCCACAAAGTCATACAAAAACTTGCATTGATACCTTCACCACAGACAGCCCCCAAAAGGTATAAGCTCAGCTCACAATATGTACCCAGTACAGGAGAAATAGCTTTATGTTTCCACAGAATATAGGATCAACAACTGCGGATGGTTGCTTCAGATTAATCTGTCATGACATCCGCAGTACTCCACTCAAAATAAAACCAGTGCTAAAGCAATGAAAGCATGATGTTGCCACCAGCCAGATATAGGCTCAGCAGTTGTAGATGAGTACTTTAGGTTATCCTGCTATCTTGTCATCAGCAGTATTCCACTCAAAAAAAATGAAAAGAAGCTCATAGTGTAAACCATACAAAATTATTATTGAAAACTACTGCGCTCACATAAAACCAATGGCAAAGGGCTCATTGAAAGTACTCAGCCACCATCTCCCCTGTAGTCCTGGTTCAGCAATACACAAAGCCACATGTAGGTAACTATTGCAGGGGCTGGCAGCGTCTCAAGTCAGGATGTTTCTCTTCTCTGCCCTACAGGTTTCATCTGTATGTTATATGGGGCACTTTTTTTTTACATACTTATGAACAGTTGACTGCATTTACGTGCATCTATTTGTTCGTGTAGAGTGGATATGGTTTATGTCATTTATATATTTTATGTAACATACTGAAAATGTTATTTCATGCAATGCTTTTTTGGCTCCTACTTTAAAGTGTCTCAAGCGATGCCATGCCGATGAAGAGTGGCTAAAGTTTGGGACACAAATTCAAGTTTATTCCACACACTTCATAGAAAATCATAAAAATAGTTTTAAATAAAAAAAGCTGTAAGGTTTCTATATTTGTAATGGGGTTAAATGGCTTTCAGAATTATGGCCAGAGCAGAGGTTTTCTTAAAAGGTATCCAAGGACAGCCTGCTGTGGAAAGTCTTCACCTTACCTGAGATCCAGAGGTGACACTCAAGCCACTATCTGCACTAATTTGAGACTTCTTCTCCTCCGTGTCTGCACTATCGATGACCTGCTTGGGCTGCTCCGTGCCTACAAAAAGTAAAGGACGACGGCAGTTTAGAAGCAGTGAGAGGCAGGAAAACAGGCCGAGGGTGCTCATATTTTATTCTGGCCACAAACCGTAAGATTTTGATTTTTGCCCAATAAGCTGAAGGACTAATTGACTTGTTACAAATTTTTGTATCTTGGAAATAAGCTCTCTAAAAAAAATTAAAGATTGGGTGATAAGTTTAAAAAAAAAAATACAACTAGTTTTGGAGAAAAAAAAACTGCCCAGGTAAATGACCGTAAAGCAGAAAAATATCAAATTAAAATCAAGTGTTAAAAATGTATGCTTGCAACACACTTGTGCTGCCTTGGCCAGTGGATAATGTTAACTAGGAAGACAGACCACTTGGCTAGCAATAAAGGACTTAAGGCTATCTAAAAAAAAAAAAAATGTATAGATCTTTGAATTCAGGTACCCATAGCAACCAGATATAAGTGGGCATTTAAGAATGTGCCTTGTATATACACCAATCAGGCACACACATGTAATATTCTGAATGTTATGTGACAACAAACTGCATAAAATGATCTGTGTTTACCTTCAGTAGCCAGTTGAGCTCTCCCTTTCACGATCCTAGGGCTTGATAGAAATGGAGGGGACAAGCTGACTGGTTCAAAGGGGAACACCTCATACATGAAGCTCCCTGGATAAAACCAGGAAATTCTACACAAAAAAGGACTAACATCCCATGGTGGATATTGGTTATAAAAACCAACACATCATTTGGGATGTACAGAAAGTGCTCATATCTGTATTAGATGGGTCTAAAAATGAAAAAAGGTACAATGCAAAAAATAGTACAAGTAGTAATAGTAAGAATAAAATACAAATACAAGTTAAAACTATGATTAGTGCATATCACTCCTCCTCAGATGTAATACTTTGTAAACCTCATTGCTCAATGCAGGTGGCTTTGATTACAGGTACATTCAAATTCTTAGTGAAAACTGAATACATTTGGAATTTTAGAAGCCGAGAAGCCAAACCTGTCAGAAACGTAAAATGAGTGGCTATAGACAGGCAGAGTTTCACTGCTGCAGGGTATTGTGCGTCGTTTTCAGTGTCACGTTGGCTGAAGCAGTGAAGACATTGGAAAACCGAGCCCACCCTGCTTATATGGTGCTGAGTGATATGAGAGAGGAGTGAGGGCATGATTCAAAAGCGTTAGCTCAGAAAGATGGAAGGAGGAAGGAGAGGGGAGGAGTGAGTTCACCACTACAGTTACTAACTTAAGACAAGAAACCCCAACAAATCATTCACCAATAGAAAATCTGCCAGCTTATCGAATTGATCCTTGCAATCTATTCTAAGGAACAAAGCAGCTTCCTATGAGTACTAGTAGTCATCCAGTTTTATTCAGAACCAACAACGAACAACGTCTTGGATGGAAATTTGCCTTCTTTGATCTATCCTAAGAGATTTTTCCTCAGTAGTATGGTTTCTCTAAACATTAAACAAGGACATAATAAAAGGGGACTCTCTTGCAGATAATTTCCAAAAGTCCCTGTTTAATCTAGACCAGGGGCCCTCAAATCTAAATCAGTCTCAATTAATGTCCTTCAGGCTTCACAGGGGCTAGACAATAGCCAGCAGAAGTAGAAAATGCCCCAATATCAGTCGTCAGTGGGGGTCGACCACATCCCAAACTGGACAGGTGGCCATGATTTTGACAGTCTGGTGAAGGGATATGGGGACAAGTCTGGCAATCCATTGGGGGTCTGATATCATGAAAAGGTTAAATAGGTTCTAAAGGCTGAAAGCTTTTTTACCTTCATGCATTCTATGCATGTAGGTAAAAAAAACCATACCTTCAGTATGCAGTATTACCCCCCCCCCCGCCAATACTTACCCGAGCTTAATCATGATCCAGTGCTGTGCATGAGAGCAGCTGCTCTCCCAGGTCTCTGTCAACTCATTGGCTAAGAGGTGGCAGCTCCTGCAGCTATCACACAATCACAGCCAGTGAGGAGGGGGAGCGGGGGGGGGGGGGGGGGTGGACACTTGGAGCGGGGCTTGGTAGCGAGCACACAAGAGTGCCCCCTTGGCAGGTGGCACTCAGGAGGAGGAGGAGCCAGGAGCGTTGGTGGGGGACCCAAGGAGGAAAAGGATAGGGGCCACACTGTGCAAAAACCATTGCACAGATCAGGCAAGTATAACATGATTTTGTTTCTTTAAATTCCACATCTAGCCCACCGCTAGGGTCAGTGAAGTATGCTCAATGTGCTCAGACTGAAGATTCAGATCAGCAGAGGCTGCCTATGATCTCCCTTTATCCACGTTGGGATACTAACCAATGATGTACTTGTCTCAGCATTCACAGGATGAAACTTCCTTCATCCTAACCTGCTCCACCGCCTGGCTCCTACCCAGCCACAATGCCACTCTGAAAACCTTACAGTGAGGAGGGAGACTGATGTAAAGAGGGACTGTGATGGAGACACTGATGTAAGGGGAGTCTTACTAAAGTTCTTTTATTCTGTATCATATCACGGATTACAAAAAAGGGTCCAAATTGAAAATATTCAATTATAAGTCTGTTTTTTCCTCCAGCAAATATTTGCACAGTATGGCTCTCTCATAGTTTGGAGACCCCTGGTCTAGACTATGCAGAATCTACTCTAGGTGTCATCATTTGGTTCTGACGTAACTATGGCAGATCAGCAAATCTAGAAACTCAGCAAATTGGTGGCATAATATCAAGCCCATAAAAAAAAGAAAAAAAAAAAAAGTCACCCTTTGATGTGATGGTACATATATGCACACTTGTCCCAGTTCTGCAACTTAAGCCTTACTGAACTGGGTTGGTCGGTGTATTGGTCAGTGTATTAGCCAGACCAGAAGGTGACTGATAAAGGCAAACCACATAGGTATGTAATGCTTGCTTTAAGTAAGACACTATTTCAAAAGAGTGTCCATTACTTACTGGATGACTTCTAATGTGAAATAAAAACCCTGCAAGACAGATACAGGCTGCAAGCAACAAAGCAGGTGTATATAGCCTTCAGCTTTTTTCAATTAAAGTGGATACATGCCTAAGGCCTCATTCAGACAGGCTCTGACACCCATATTGCAAGCAGGAGGCAATTTTTTTTGTGTCTGCATCTGCCCCAAGCTACATGCAGTCAGCCTATAGAAGTGAATGCAGATGCAGCAGCTGCATGGACACAGTTGCATGTCAGAATTTGGCGTGCAGGAGCGGTTGAGCGACGTTGAACAAAACACTGTCCGATGTTGCATGCCTGTCAAATTCTGACATGTGGCTTCGTCTATGCAGCCACTACATCTTCATCTACTTCCATAAGCTGCATACAGGCAGCTCAGGGTAGACATTCAGGCATGAAAACAAGTGCCTCATATGCACACAGTATGCCAGCACTGCTGAATGGGGCCTAAAGTAAAACCACATACCTCTGTCAGATTACACCTGAAAACGCTGCATTAAGACAAACTAGCAGCCATTCTCAGATCACATATCTTGGCATAATGTTGTTCCATCAGCACAAGTTCCTATAGTTTTCTTTCACATTTTGTACATCACCCTTCTATTAACCAACAAAACCCCTAAAATGAAAAAGCTGCCCAGAGAAAATCTCGGTAGTGGCCACCACCGGATCTTTTATGATCACTACCGGATCGATTTTTAGGTTTTAATTTGAATTGGCATATCAAAGTGTGAGAAAAGGCGAACTGCTAAATACATTTCTATAATTTGTCCTCACTGCTTTGGATTTTTAACCAATACCTTTAGTATACAAACCTTCCCTTTCCTTAGTGCACATGTTGTGTAACACCCGAGCTGCTGCTGTCTAATAAGGAAGCTATGCTTGCTAGCTGTATTTTTAAACACATTAACCGATTCAACATATCTGGGGATATAAAGCATCCCGTGCTTCTTTAAAGTAAATCATCACAAGTCCAGGCAGGTGTAAAGATTGCAGCGTTTACATTGAAGTTATCTGTACAATGTACTGAACATTGTAGATAGCAACATGCCCACAAACCACATCAGTCAAGGCATAGATCCCACAAACCTGCTTTGTTCAATGTCTGCAATGAAAGAAACTACAATTTCTATGCTGCACTGCAATTGTGTAATCACTAGGAAAACGGCTAAAACCTCCCAGAAGGTGGCAGCCAGTGCATGCAGTTGTGCTTTAAAATTTTGCAAACCCTGGCAGAAATTGTGAAATGATGGCATTGAAAATATGTCTGATCATGCCAAAAAAATTGTTTTTTTTTTTTTTCAGGATAGTCATCACATGAAGCCATTTATTATCACAGAGTTGTTTGGGGATTCCTTTTTAAATCATAAAACAGAAATCACCCAAATGGCCACGATCAAAAGTTCACATACCCTGCAATGCTTGGCCTTGGTACAGACACACAAGGTGACACACACAGGTTAAAATGGCAATTAAAAGGTTAATTTCTCACATCTGTGGCTTTTTAAATTGCAATTAGTGTCTGTGTATAAATAGTCAATGAGGTTGTTTGCTCTCACGTGGATGCAGGCTGGATACTGAGCCATGGGGAGCAGAAAAGGACTGTCAGCAGATCTCCATAACAAGATAATGGAATTTTATAAAGGTAGAAAATGATATAAAAAGATATCCAAAGTCTTGAATATGCCAGCCAGTACTGTTCAATCACTTATTAAAGAAGTGGAAAACTCGGGGATTGCTTGATACCAAGCCAAGGTCAAGTAGACCAACAAAAAGTTGCAGCCACAACTGCCAGAAGAATTGTTCGGGATACAAAGAAAAATCGAAAGAAAAAGGTATTGTCAGGAGAAATACTGGCTACTCTGGAAAAAGATAGTAAGGTTGTTCCAAGGAGCATAATACTATGAAACGTGAACAAAAATGAGCTGCATGGTCGAGTTGCCAGAAAGAAGCCTTTACTGTGCCAATGTCACAAAAAAAGCAACACCTTGACACGCCTCACAGCTTCTGGCACACTGCAATCTGGGGAGAGAAGACCA